CGCGCGAAATCAGAGTGGCGCAGCAGAAGCGTGGTCTTGAAGCTTGCCATGAGGCAAGGTTATCAAGGTTAGGGAAGTAGTTCCCGAGTGTTCAAAGAGAGGGCTTTGAACGAAAGTCGATGGTCAAGGACTTTCACGCTTATGCAGGAACCATGTTACAATGGTCGGAGGACTTGCCAAGTGAGATTGGCACGTCGGGGGAACAAAGACCCTAGTTGAAGGTGATAACTTCAAAAAGGGTGGGCCATGGGGCCGAGCATGGAGGAGTCCATGCATGATCACAGACATGTCAAGTGAGAGGACTTGGCAGTGTGGAGGAACTAGGTTCCTAAGCTGTGATCTGTAGCGCGCTTTAAAAATAGGTTGGTGCACCGGCGTGGGGAGTCACGCCAGGCATCTAGAGTGATGCCGTCCGTAGATGCATATACGGAGGTTGGGTTCGAGTCCCGACCCTCTAGTGCTTGGGTTCGAGTCCCAAATCACTAGGGCGTGGTGATGGTTTGGAATATGAGGACACTCATATTTCGGTGGTCATGGACTCTCAGTGGGGAGACTGGTTTGGGCACACCGCCAAGCGAGGGATGCCTCGGAGTCGTGATGCACAGTTAGATTGCTTAGTGTGAAAGCTCGGCATATCTAACTTGAACTCTTTGGTGCAAGTGGCACCAAAGACGTGGTGAGTGAGATGGGGACACCTAATCTCAGTTGCTATGGACCCTTGGCCGGAAGGGCTGGCTTGGGCGCACCGCCAAGTGTGGGGGATGCCCCCGGGGTCGTAGTTAACAAGTTAAAGGTCTTGAAGACCTAGTACCTATTGGCAAACCTGTTAAGGTGCCGAGGTGAGATCACTAAGTGATCTTGTGGCTAAATAAGGACAAAGTCCTTGTTTGGGTTAAGGAATAAGGTTCCTAGTTCAAAGTGTTGATTTGAACTATTGATGATGGTGTGGCTTGGTCAAGGTGACCAAGTGGGAAAAGCACTTTAGGGAAATGAGCTATGTCATTGCGATGGCATAGTGTGTCCAAGGAAAGTAGTCTCTAAAGAGACCCATGAGAGGGTCACAAAGTTGGGCCGAGGATAGAGCCCACAGCAGAAGATGCTAACAGAGACTTACTAGGGGCGAACACCCTAGTCTTGGCAAAGCAGAGCCTTTGCTATGGAATCAAAAAAAATACCTCAAGGAGGGAGGTAGAGATTCGATGTTGCTTGGTACAACAATCAACGGATAGGAGCAAAAGATGAGTGGCCAAGATAGGGCCGTGGAATCCCTGGAAGGAATCCAAGTGACAAAGTTAGGCGAAGAACACTGATGTGTTGGACGCTAACAAATTGCGGGAAAGGAAGTGTATTTCCAAGGATGGATTCCGAATTGCTCCGATTTGGCGAAAGTGGAAGCTCCAAGGGAGGGAGCAGTAAGGTAGCCAAATGATAGGGCAATGGGCAACCCTAGCACAAAGTGTGATAAATGGAACTTAGTGCCCAAGGTGGCACGAAATAGAAGAGAGGATGATGGTGCCCTCAAGTAATGAACTTCCTAGGATAGGGAAGTGGAGTTGCACAATCTGTGCAATGCAAGGTGTTGGAGACACCTAGGAAATTGACTTCCAAAAGTCAAAAGAGTAAAAGTTCCAAGGTGCAAACATTCAATAGATGGAAATTGAGACTACTCAAGAAGGAGTAGTGGGATTGACTTAGAGAAGGGTCTCTAAGAGGTTTAGCGAGAACTGAACCAATAAAAAAGGAGCAAACCACCCCAGGTGGTCAAGTGAGTCTCTAAGCTGGAGAGACTATCCTCCTTAGAGGATGGGCAAGGCATGGTGAGCCTTTGGTGTCGAACCATTAACGAATGTGGAGAAGGCATGGTGAGCCTTCAATGTCAAACCATTGACAAATATTGGCTAGGTGCCAAGGATGGAAATGGTAACACATGCGAGTGTTACTTTACAAAATGGTTTACCGTTCGATGAGGACATCGAACTTCGTCTATGGGTGGTGGAGTTGTGAGACACAAAATCCCTAGGCCCCAAAGTGGAGCCGGAAGGGCGCCACATGGTAGTGGCCGAAGCGAGAGCCAAACGAGCGTAAAACGTTTGGACCAAAAGCTCTGACTTGAAAAGTCAAGAGCGGGAGTGGAACTCCCAACAAAGTGCTCGAGGAACGAGCACGAAGCGAGCAAAAGGCAAGGCTCCAAAAAGGGACCCAAAAGGACCAACACATGACACGTGGGAGTGTCCGAGATGGACTCGAGATGGAGTCCGAGATGGAGTCCGAGATGGACCCGAGATGGAGTCCGAGATGGAGTCCGAGATGGAGTCCGAGATGGACCCGAGATGGAGTCCGAGATGGAGTCCGAGGTGGAGTCCGAGGTGGACCCGAGATGGACCCGAAATGGAGTCCGAGATGGAGTCCGAGATGGACCCGAGATGGAGTCCGAGATGGAGTCCGAGATGGACCTGAGATGGACCCAAGATGGAGTCCGAGATGGAGTCCGAGATGGAGTCCGAAGTCGAAACCGAGACCGGAACCGAGACTGGGACCGAGACCGAGACCGAGACCGAGATCGGGACCGAGACCGAGACCGAGGCCGAGGCCAAGACCGAGCCCGAGCCCGAGTCCGAGTCCGAATCCGAGTCCGAGTCCGAGTCCGAGTCCGAGTCCGAGTCCGAGTCCGAGTCCAAGTCCGAGTCCGGAGCCTGAGAGGGTGAAAGCCCAAAGCGTTCGTCTCCCAGACCCTGGGGGGTTTGGTGAGCTCCAAAAGTATAGTAGGGGGAGGACTGTAGTGGAGCCAGTTTGGCCAGGAAAGGCCAGTTTGGCCCAGGAAGGCCAGACCCAGTGTTGGGTGATGAACTGACCACTGGGAAGTCCAAGACTATAGTGAATACGGACCGACAAGCGGGGTAGCTTGGTGAAGTGTTCAAGAGCCGGCTCTAGTTCCCCCGGGAGATCGACTGGCCGATGCTCCCAGTCCAAGTGTGGGTGGCACTACCTACTTGGATACCAAGCGTGGCTCAATAGAACCTCGCTCTAAGCCCATGGCTAGAGCACCTAAAGGCGATAGGTGGGGAGAGTACCCAGGTGGCTCGCGTAAGGCCACGGTGTTCCGAAATGTTGTCCCAAAGGCCCAGACTGTGGAAAGGAAGAGGAGTAGTCCTCTGGGGTAGTGACCAAGGACACAGTCATGTGGTGAGGAAGTCCCAGAGGACCGTGGGACTTAGTGGTCGGGCCTGTGGGCCTCGATCCAGTGGCAGTGTTGGCAAACACGGCCAAGGGCAGAAAGGGACTTGGTAGGAACTGACAAAGGGACTTTGGGGAAGGCAACTCCCCAGGTCTGTGGGCATCCTAAGGATGCTAAGGAGTGGATCTAGGATGACCACTCGTGGACACATGGCCCAGTCTTGGAGAGACGAGGTGGTGATGCAAGTGGTGTTGAACCACTAGTGCAGCAAAGGTGAATGGGCATGGCCTTAGCGTAACGGGCCGAGATGTCAGTGGTACCTTTGGGTGTCGGTCTCAAGACCGGACACGTGGAGCACTTGGACCAGGTGCAAGTGTGGAGTGGCATGGATGCCATTCTTGGGGCTAGCAAGTCCCAAGTCCTGAATTGGACTGATGGAGGTTGTGAATGAGACTCCTCCAAGTGGTCGGAGGTGTGGTTAAGTAACTAAAGTAGAATGGAAAATTTAGTCGCTTACAACCATATCCTTTAGAATGTTTCTTGCGATATAACTATTGAAAAATTATTTCTTTAACCATGTCTTATTGAAATATTTTGATATATTTTTGTTTCAACAAATAACTATTTAGCACAACTTTGAGTGCCCATTAAGTGTTGTGAAAGAAGAAAAACATTTAGCACAAATTTAGCAAAAATTTAGCAAATGTAATATACACATTTAGGAGAGAATCAAAATAATGCTCCTTACTCCTTGAATTTCATTCCCACTAAACAAGGCTACTTTATGATCTTTGCCAACAAGGCAACTTGTGCTAGTATACGCATATAATATATATATATATATATATATATATATATATATATATATATATATATATATATAATAACCACCTATTTGTTGTTTATTTGATCAACTATCTGTTGTATTTTTGTTGGAAAAAGTTTTATTAAACCCTCTTATCTGTGGTTTTAATTAGAATTGCAAAAATATTAGCCACATTTGAAGAACATTAATATCAACTAAATTACTTATATTTGGATAAGGTGGGGTGTACGCATGAGCCTGGATGAGAATAGTGTAGTGATGATAGTGCATTCCATCCGGCATGGAGTGCTCTCCTTGATATCCACATGATCAAATCCTGAATTTGCAGAAAATGTTTGTATAGAAGAATCCAGAATATTTGCATTCCAAGACGTGGAAATAAGTGGAACTTCCAGCCAAAGCTCTTGCGAAAAGCCTTGTCTAAAACGTCCACCTTCAGAAGGATAGTAGCATCGTCATAAGGACACAGAGTCCAAGTCGGGGCTTGGCGAGACAGCCATGGGCAGCCACCACAAACTTTTGCTCGTGTCCTCTGCTGCTGCTCTCAGGATAGAGTATCCAATGGAAGAACAGCCCCTTCCTCAATTAAAGGCAAAAAATTAGCTTGAGACAAACAAAACCCTAGAAAATCAATTCTATCAATGCTTCTTGGTTTAAATTTGGGGGTTGGGTTGTGCCAGGCTAAGGCTGTAGTGTAAGGCCAAAGCGACACGTGGAAGGCCGGGTAGCAAGCTACCGGTGGCCCTCCTCCCACAAAAAATTAGGTTAATAGCGTTGGGACACGTGGTCCCATATCAGCTATTAAACTGATAAGAACAGATACTACACTTGATCTTAGCCAAAAGGCCGAGAAAGGTATGGATTGTGCTGTCCCAGCCCTCTCTTTATATACTCAAACCCCGGCACCACTTTGCGCCATTGCATATGGGATAGGGCGCGCGCCGACGTGTTTAATTAGGGTACACGCGGCTGCCAGCTCAGACTTGTGAGCCCTAGATTTTAGATTTTGGCGCGAATTCGAGCTCCTCCTAGGGCTTGGTGTGGGCGGCGGGATGTCTCTTCTTGTCAAGAAGCTCTCGGCGTGCGCCATTTTGCCGTCCAGAGGCTCAGCGCTCGCCGCCGGCTACGATCTCTCCAGGTTTGGGCAGCTCTGGCGTTCATTCTCGCGTTCTAAAGCTTCGATTTTGGGGGCGGCAGTGCGTATGATAGCGTTGTTCCTGCCAGAGGCAAGGCGCTTATTCAAACCGATCTCTCGGTGGCACTTCCGGAAGGAACTTATGGCCGCATTGGTGAGCAAATCCTCTCCTCTTCATGAAAAGAGAGATCAAGGCTAAAGCTTTTTTTCTTTCGCAGCTCCACGCTCTGGACTGGCATGGAAGCACTCGATCGACGTGGGCGCTGGTGTTATAGACGCCGACTATCGCGGACCACTCGGTGTCATCCTTTTCAATCACTCTGACACGGAGTTTTCGATCAAAGCCGGGGATCGGATTGCTCAGCTCATACTGGAGAAGATTGTCACTCCTCCCGTCCTGGAAGTCGAGGACCTGGATCTCACCGTCAGGGGAGCTGGAGGATTTGGCTCAACCGGAGTGACCCTCAAAGTTGTTGCTTGAGAATCGATCGAACACTAGTAAGTTTCTCTTTGCAAAAGTCTTGTAGCTCAAAGGATGTTTGCAAAGTTCGTTCTTTTGTCTATTGACAGATGAGATGAAACGAAGATAAATGGTTTCTTTATTTCCCTGGTTTGGCCCCTGTGAGCTTTTGTAGAAGGATCTCCTCGTAGCCCGGATCGTAGTACTGGACAACTTCTTTGGGATAGCTCGCATTCACGCCGTCCACTAGGCTCTTTATCTCTGGATCCGGCCCGAAATTCATCTGGAGCAGCTTCTCGAGGCCACCCGACGTGACAAACTTCGTTCTTCCCTCGGGATCGTTTGGAAGAACCTTAGCGAGCTGCGCTATCACGTACTTCAATGTCTCGATTGGCAACGGTGGCCCCTGGAGAGAGAGCTCAAGAACAATAAGCTGAGAGGAAATAGTTTTTCAAACAGTGTTACCTGGAGAAGAGAATCTAAAGCCGGGATGTGAGTCAGGTGCTCTATGATCGCCTTCAGAGCTCTCTTGCACTTGCTACGAAGATCTTCGCTGCTTGTCTCGGCCAAAAGTCGGGTGACCAGCTGGGGAAGAACTCCGGCTTCAGCAACGGCGAGCGAGTGAACCGGACTGTGCCTTCCGACTTGTCCGAGTGACCACGCACTGGCACTTTGGATGTGATCTTCCTGCTCGTTGGTGAGAGCGTCTACCAGTGGCTTTACCCCGTTGGACTGGATGATGGTTGTAGACAAAGACTCGTCAAAAGCCGCGATATATCCCAAAGCCATGATAGCTGCGCATAAACGAAGAAAAACTTTAGTGTATACGGACAACAAGCCTTCAAAATTGCGAGAACAAAGCTTGTACCTGGTAAGCGATCATTGCCTAAACATTCGGCACAGTTATCCACTAGTGCTGCAACACCACCAGTGGAGACGATGAACTGTGCCATTTGCGGTGTGTGCTTGGCAACTTCTCTCACGAGAATGGCCGCTTGCCGTCTTACTTGGTGATCTATATCTTTTAGACACAAAAACAGCTTTGGGAACAGCTCCGCTGCAAGTAAAACCTGTAAGAAACCGCAGGGTTGCTGTTGAGATCTCAACTGGTCTGTGATAAAGATCGTACCTCAGCAAGATCGACCGTGTGTCTAGCGATTTGGCCCAGGCACAAGCAAACCTGAGAGATAAAACAAAGCGACGAGACGCGCTTAGACTAAAAACTGAAGAGAAGAGTTCTTACCCGACATTAGCTGCGATGAAGAAAAGCCTTAGAAGAAAATTACCTGCCTCTTAATCTTGGCGTCAATATGTACAACGAGAGGAGCAATGAAAGGAACAGTGCCAGCATCAACCACGAGCTGTGCAAGCTCCGGTGCATGCTTTGCGATGTCTGCAAGAGCAGCCAAGGCTGCACGTTTTAATATAAGTTCCGGCTCCTGACAGCATACAAAAGAAGAAGAAAACTTTACGGCATATGTAGAAGCGAAATAGATGAATATCGCACCTGGACACAAAGAACAAGGAGCGGAACGGCACCGGCATCCACAACAGCCCGCGCAAGCTTGACGTTGTGTTTGGCAACATTACCCACTGCTGTAGCTCCAACTTCCTTCACCGAAGGATCAAACTCCTCGAGGCATGAAACCAAGTCCTCCAAGGCACCGGATTCAACGACTGCCTGTGCAAGCTCGGCATTGTGTTTAGCCACGGAGCGTAACACAGATGCCGATGCCTTCTTGCTATATCTATTTTGATTCCTGGCAAGAGCAGAAAAGAAAAACACTTATTAGTTCTTGGTAAGAAGAAAAGAAGCTCAAGCAGCTAGAAAACTCAGCAAGCGAAGTAGAAGACTGAGAAGAAACCGAGGAAAAAACTTACTTCAAGGACAAGACAAGCTGGCGCAAGAAAAAAAAACTTCTTAGTTTTTAGGAAAAAAATTTGCCAAGAAGGATAAGAAGAAAAGAAGATCACGCTTGAAAAACTTAGAAAACTCGGCAAGAGAAGAAAAAAATTGAAAAGAAAACTTACTTCAGGGAGAAGACAAGCTGAACCAGGAGATGATGCGACACAACCTCCTCCGCCATGTCTTCGCTCCAATTGGCGAGCCTTCCCAATCCCAGCGCCGAGGTTTGCTGGATTGTGGGAATGGAATCGATCAACAAGGGGCGCAGCAACTCCAGGACCCCAGCCGTGTGAAGAATCTCCACATTCTAGAAGCCACAAGGCGAAACGCGTGATCTGGGTGCCCCAAATCAGGGTTTGATGGATCCGAGCGCCAAACCTGTGCATTGTTGGACAACTCAGCTACCGTCTGGGAGAATGTGATACGCGCCTTCTGATACGACTCGAGAATCTGGAGGACTTGCCTCGTCGTCGCCATAGCCGCACCGCCAATCTAAAGCATCGCGCCGCGATTCGAATTTCCCCCCTCCGGGCAAATGAAAATAGTTAGGGCAGCTTTATAGGGCTGAACTGGACACCTGACACGTGGAAGAAGATTATCTTAAGAAACTCTATTAGCATAACAAGCTCTTTTAGCTCAGTTGGTCAGAGCACCCGTTTAGTAAGCGGGAGGTCCTGAGTTCGACTCTCAGAGAGAGCAAAACACATTCTTTTTGATGTTTTAGGGTTTTGGGTTTGGCGCGAACCCTAGGAGCTCGGTGAGCGATGGCGGTAAGCGATCGATGGCGCTGCGCGTTATCTCGGCTGATTCTCTGTTTTTCTCGATTTCTTGCAGACCGTGCCTGTGAATCCCAAGCCGTTTCTCAATGAGCTCACGGGGAAGGCCGTCATGGTTAAGCTCAAGTGGGGCATGGAGTACAAAGGTAAACTCGCAATGCTGTTTCTTCTCATTGTCTTCTAACACAAAAAATCTGGTCTTTCGCGTGGCAGGGTTCTTGATCTCGGTCGATTCTTACATGAATTTGCAGGTTTGCTCTAGCTTTGGTCTATCTTTGGTAGGATTGAAATTCGTGTTTCTTTCTTCGCAGCTGGGCAATACGGAAGAGTTCATCGATGGGCAGTTCGCAGGAAATCTGGGCGAAGTGCTGATAAGGTTTTTCCAAGTTTTTTTCTCCTCTCGGAGGTTTGATCGTTTTGCTTCTACCAGGTGTAACAATGTACTCTATCTTCGTGGAATTCCGGAAGAGGAAGAAGGCTCTCAGTGAGAATGGAAGATGGTGTAAGAATTTTGCTTGACAAAATTTTTCCAAGCTAATCTTTTTAGTTCCAAGTGTTTGATTGTTTTCAAAGGCAAATGGTTTTAGGGGTTCTTGGATATTTTTTGCCCTTTAGGAAGAGGAGTGAGAATGGAAGAACTGCGATGTAAGAATTTTGCTTGACAAAATCTTTCCAAGTGGGGTTTTAGGGGTTCTTGGATATTTTTTGCCCTTTAGGGTCTGTTAGGGTTTATGCGCGAATGGAAGGCGCGACGAGCGGCGGCCATGGTGACGAGGCGGCCGCCACGGCCGCCGCTGCCAGTGCCGCTCTCGTCGCCGCGCGCGTTGTCAAGCCCCAGGAGGTGCTGGAATCGCTCATGAACGACGGCACATTCGACGCTCTGCGCGGCAAGGTCACGGCGCAGCTCAAGAGCAATGTAAGAGCAAAATTCTCGTGAAATTTCGTGCTCAGCTATCGAAATTCTCCAGGAAGATCTCAAGCGATACACGCAATCGCTGGTGGAGAAGAGCCAGTGTCTCAACAGCCCCGGGGCGGACAACAAAACGCGGCGGGAGCTCTTCGATGCGCTGCGCCGCGAGCTCGAGTAAGTGAATCGTTTCCATCTTTGCCGATAGGAAGAAGAAGCAGAGATTTAAAACCTTTCATCTCCAGGGGTCCTGTTCTTGACAGAGCTTCCAAGGCAGCATGGGAACTAATCCTCTCGAAAGAGAACTTGGGCAAGGAGATTGCCGAGGCTGTGGACTCGACTTACAGCAAACTTAGCACGCAAACGATCGAGGAAGAGAGAGCGCCATCGCTAGAGAGACCCAGCAACGATCATGGCACCGAGAAGAGCACGCCATCGCAGGAAAGAGGTGATTTGCCAGGAGCTAGCAAAGGATTGAATGGGCATGGTGGCTACTACCACCCGGGAGGAAGCGCTTCGAATGGCCGGGAGGGGAGCTTGAAAAGGGATAGAGATCAATTGGAAAGGATGGACAGGGAGCGAAGCAGCCGGATGCCGCTGGAGCGAGAGAGCTCCCGGGACAGGGATCGAGAGTTCTCGCGGGATAGAGATTATCCCGAGAAGACGAGGAGCAGGGATAGAGATCTATACGAGCGCCGGGACGCTGCGAGAGAAAGAGAGAGGGAGCAGCACCACTTTGGTGGTGGAAGATCTTCCTATGATGGCCAGGATTTCTCCAGGGACAGAGAATTCTCGCGGGAGCACAGTGGAAGAGATTTCTATGACTCGAGGAGAATGCCGCGATCGTGAAGAACACACTGGAGTAGTGTCCTAAGGCTTGGCAAGCTTGGCTATGGTGGACGTTTAAATTATGCTAATGAGATTGAATTGGTTTATCCATTTGTATGGTGCAATCCAACGCACGCGATCGTTCCACGTGTGCTAATTGGCATCCGACGGTAAAGAGAGGTTTTTGCCTTAAAAAGCTTGTCACGCGAGCGTCATGGAATGCTCGTTGTGTGGAGCTCCGGCTAGGGTTTATCACGCGCCGAGAGGGAGAATGCTCCCGGCATAGTCGAGTATGGCGAAATCTCTGCTCGCATTGGGCTCCAGGCACCAGCGGCGGCTCTATTCGTCGACATCGAAGCTCACGCACCATGGAATCCATGTCTTGCAGTGCCCGGTATGTGATTATCGCGAGTATTTCCAGGATCTTCAACGCGATTGTTCCAGGATCAAGTGGGAATTGTTGCAAGGATATCGGATTGCCTCTCTGGTCACGGCGCGAATATCACAAGCACGGACATTTTCGTGGACATGGACTCCCGCGATGAGCCGGTTTTCAATTCACGATGGTAAGAAGCAACAATCTCTTTTTGTCCTTTCGTGAGATAGGCAGGAGGAAAATTTTCTAGTGGCCGCCATCACCCAGTCAGTTTTCTTTCAATCCCGTGCAGTGGACGCGGGAGGAAATGGAGAACTCGTTCCAAGAGATTGGGAAGCAATTCGTAGGGAAATCAGTCGTCAATGTTCCTGGGATGGACAGGGATATGAAAGTCGCCGTCTTCGCATCTTTGCAGGTAAATCAATCGTTTTTTTCGTGCTATAATAGAAGAACACGTTCTAAAACTCAATGCGTTCCAGGATCACTGCTTGGTAAATCTGCTCCATCGCTGGCAGGATGGAATGCTTCCAGTGCAAATAGAATGCGTGATAAGGTAAGCTTGTAAGAGTGAGATTCGATTCTCTATCGTGTTTTACGTGGTTTTTTCCACAGTAATCATGTTCGAGGGGAAGATACTCATATATGGCGCTTCTTAAAGCGTCACGGCATTCCATATCACTATCTTCCAACAACGAAGACGAACAAAAGGGAGGACGATATATTGGAGCTTGTTTCCGGGACAGATTTCCTGGTTTTGGCTCGATACATGCAGGTATTTCCAACCAAGCGAAGAGATCAAGTTTTTCTTTTCTGTCAGGCAGATTCTCTCTGGTGATTTCATAGCTCGCTATGGCAAGGACATCATCAACATCCATCACGGATTGCTACCATCTTTCAAGGGCGCCAATCCATACAGACAGGTACCAAAAGTCTCCTTCATTCTTCCACTCGTTAACTAACTTATGCTTTGTTCTCGCAGGCTTACGAAGCTGGAGTGAAGCTGATCGGTGCCACAACGCACTTTGTGTGCGAGGAACTGGACGCTGGACCCATAATCGAGCAGATGGTGAGCACCAAGTTGCTAGATTTGCTTGCCAGAGTTTGCGAATTTACTGACGGTGAATCGATGATCAAACAACACAGGTGGAGCGCGTCTCACACCGTGACACACTGGAAAGCTTCGCCATGAAATCCGAGAGCCTCGAGAGACAGTGCCTGGATCGAGCGATCAAGTACTACTGCGAGCAGCGCATCTTGCGATACGGTCGAGACAAAACAAAGACGATTGTCTTTGCGTGATAGAAGAAAACGATAATAAAGACGCCAAAATGGCTTCTTGTATAGTGCTTTCTTCATTTGGATTCTCTGCCTCGAGCGTCTCGCGGAGAAACCCTATCGCGCGGGCGATCGCGTCGCCCAGCCGGCGCCAGGTGATCGCATTCCATCTCGGCCTTGGTCTGTGCTGCCGCGGAGGATTGGAGCTAGGCGCCGCCGTAGCAGCTGACGGATCGACAGGCCGTGTCGCAGCGATGATTCCACCGGTAGCGCCTCGGCTCAAGCAGGAATTCGAGCTCTTTGGCGATTCTCGGGAGGATTTCTACTTCTGGCTTAGGGATGACAAGCGCGCGGATCAAAAGGTACTGGCTCATCTCAAGGCCGAGAATGCGTACACGGAGCAAGTCATGGCAGGCAAGCCTCATACATTGCATTGCTCGCGCTTATCTTCTTCTTTGCGCAGACACGAAGAAGTTCGAGGAAGAAATCTTCGCGGAGATGAAAGGGAGAATCAAAGAGGATGATACGAGTGTCCCTGTGAGAGATGGGCCTTACTTCTACTATGAGAAGGAATTGGAAGGTAAGCAGTACAAAGTCCACTGCCGGAGGAAAATTCCTGGAGGTGAAGGCCCGGGCTCGATTGACGAGATCATGGACGATGCTCAAGAGGAGGAAGTTCTTCTAGACGAGAACGAGAAAGCTGCCTCTCACAAGTTCTACATTGTGGGGGATGTCCAAGTAAGTTTTCTTTTCTAGCTTTTATTTGGTTTGTATATGCGTGGTTTCTTTTAGGTGAGTCCAGACCACACGAGATTGGCTTACACCGAAGACACTGTGGGGGATGAGATTTTTAGCATCTACGTCGTGGACATTGCGAGCAAACAGCTGCTGGGACCTGTTCTTAAGGGTGCTGTCGAAGATATCAAATGGATTGACAACGAGTCGATAGCTTACGTGACTCAGGATGATATTCATCGCCCTTACAAGGTCTGTCAAATGCTTTTCTTCTTTGTCTTTCTCATTGGAGACTTGTGCTTTTGCTAGGCTTGGTATCACAAGATTGGAAATGAACAATCGGAGGACGTTTGTCTCTACCACGAAGAAGATGAGACGTGCTTTCTGGACATGGGTTCGTCGGAAAGCAAAGAGTATACGTTTGTGCACTCCGGGACTAAGACGACGTCTTTTGTTCTCTATCTGGAGAACAAGAGTCCGGTGAAGGAGTTGAAGTACTTGACACCACGCGTTGAAGGTGTTGATACGAGTGCAAGTCATAGAGGAGAGCACTTCTTTATCACCAAGAGGACGGATGATACTTACAACTCCGAGCTTTATGTGTGTCCTGTCAATGACGTTTCGTCCACAACGCTGGTACTCCCTCACCGACCGAGGTTTGTTCGACCTTTGACGGATCTTCGTGACTCATACTATTGTCTTGCAGTGTTAAACTTGAGGAGGTTCAGGCTGCAAGGGATCATCTGGTAGTCTATGAACGGGAAAATGCCTTGCAGTCCATCACAGTTTTCAAACTACCTCCGGCAGGAGAGCCGATCACTAGCCTGGATCAAGGTGTACGGATAAAGTTTCCAGAGGCTGCGTATGCGTTGTCGCCAAAGGAATTTCAGTTCAACTCACCGATTCTACGGTACCAGTATTCCTCCTTGTCAACACCTTTTTCTGTTTATGACTATGACATGGAAACTGGAAAGTCGATGCTGAAAAAGAGGCAGGAGGTAATCCAGCTATTGTATTCTGGTTGACGTTTACTAAAACTTTGTGTGTTTTTCAGGTTCTTGGCGGCTTCCAGCCTGAGAAATATGTAACACTACGCAAATGGGCAACTGCACAAGATGGCACGCAGGTGCCGATTTCTATGGTTTATCGAAAGGACCTTGCAAAACTAGACGGCTCTGATCCACTTTTGCTTTATGGATATGGTTCCTATGAGGTATTCCTTTTTTCACTCTTTCCTCCGACTCCCTGTTACTTTTTCTTTTGTCCTCGTACAGGTCTGCATTGACCCTGATTTCAGAATGAATAGGTTGTCACTAATAGACCGTGGTGTAACCTTTGCAATCGCTCACATTCGAGGCGGGGGCGAATTGGGAAGGAAATGGTACGAAGACGGAAAGCTGACTAAAAAGATGAACACATTCGAGGACTTCATTTTCTGCGGCGAGTACCTCATTGCAAACAAGTTTTGTGCCAAAGACAAGCTTTGCATTCAGGGGAGAAGTGCGGGTGGTCTTCTCATCGGCGCGGCTCTCACCATGAGACCAGATCTGTACAGATGCGCAGTCGCGGAGGTGCCTTTCGTAGATGTTCTAACAACAATGCTGGACTCGTCGATTCCTTTGACTACTGCTGAGTGGGAGGTGAATATTTGATCTTCGCGTTATATTTTCTAATCATTTTCTGTCCAGGAATGGGGAGATCCACGTAAAAAGGATGATTATTTGTACATGAAATCCTACTCCCCAGTTGACAATGTGATTATGAAGCTTTACATTTGTTTTCCACTGCTGAACGGGTTCACTTACAGGTCTTGCCTCGTGAGTATCCAGATATTCTTGTAACCGGAGGACTTCATGGTGAGTGGCTTGATTTCCGTTGCTTCAATTTTGTAAACACTCTCGCGACAGACTCGCGAGTTGCCTACTGGGAGCCTGCAAAGTTCGTCGCCAAGCTGAGAGAAAACAAGACGGACAAGAATCTATTGCTGTTCAAGTGTGATTTTGGAGCTGGACACTCCTCGATGTCTGGAAGGTGCGAGAATTATAAGAAAAGCTTAGCAACATCCGCTTACTCCATCCATTGCAGATTTGACAAACTCAAGGATCTGGCGCTTTCTTATACGTTCATTTTGAGAAGCTTGGGCCTGGCGACCAGGAGCACTTCTTCTCTATAGGTATTCTGCCACTTTTGATGGGTAAAACGATTTTCGTTACAATCAATGGCACTAAAAGCCAATTTTTCTTGCGAGCTGCTTCATTCCTTGTTTAGTAGGGAAACTTACTTCTGTCAACCAGCTTCCATTTTGCTCCAGCGTTTTTTCGTGATTTTACAGATTGGTGTTATTTCGCTATTCATACCACCTAGATCGACTCAGAAGGTACTGGATCTTTTTGCGTTGCTCGTCACAAGATCTTCACTCTGTTTTGCTTGTGGGAAGAATCCGAAGGCAATCGTCATGCGTCCCTTTCTCTTGCAAACACGAAGTGTGAGCGATGGGCTTAATTTGATGGTGAAGGCCACTAGGCCTGATGAGACTTCTATGTAATGCTTCGAGGTTTGTCCGGTTTCTAACAGATTGCTATTTTATTTCGTGGCTGATAACTTCTCTCGTTTTGTGTCCTATTTTTCTAGTGCCAGACTTGAGGTTCAGGCTCCAAGATTTCCTTAAACTTGAAGGTTGTACTCGAAGGTTTCTCGTTCATCTGTTTTAGCTCCTGAGCACTCTTGCTACAGATTCCCAAGTTCGTTCCGAAGATTAGCGAAAACAAAACGGACAAGAACAATTTACTACTTTTCAAGTAACAGGAGACTGCTCGATGTCACAAGGTACGAGAATGGCAGAAGCGGCTCGACTTATTGTTTCCGTTCTGTATTTTGTCTTTTGCAGACTTGAACAAACTTAAGGACTTAACATTTATTTTGAGAAGGTTAGCCTGGCAACCAGGGGATTTTCATCTCTATAGGTACTGGTACCACAGGCAATTTATTTGCAACTGCATTTCTAGTATTCTTTCTCAGGGTTTAGTCAAAGATGAGTCTCTTTCAGTAATTATTGGCCGTTCTCAGAGTAATGGCCAGGGCTCAAACCGCCACGATTTCATTCAAAAGGAACTGCGCCTCTGTTGCTGTCCGTTTAGTTCAATAGTGACGAACCAAGCAGCTCTAGCTATGGCGTATTAGATACTTTTTTCCCAACATGGTTTCATTGGAAGGTATGATTTAAGCTAACTCTCGGATCATATCAGACGCATGCTTCTTTCTCGTCCTTACGGCTCATGCATTTTCTATGCTCTCTCATCAACACTCATCCACGGTTTTTGCAGAAATTTGATGCCTTCCAGGTAACCATCTACCGTCCCACAATGACTACATTTGCAGCAGCGCTCGGTGCTGCTATTTTTTTTCAAGCAGCAACGGCAGTAACTGGTGGATATGAAAGCGCTTTGGGAGATCCAGGGATGAGAAGCCCAAACTCCAGAGTGTTGCTCGAAGGCTGGAACTTCTGCAATGGTGCTGAGAACATTGGTTCAGGACAGCCCAGTCCTCGATGGGCTGATTGCACTGATAAAGTCTGCAAGCCCGGTAAGTTTTCTTAACTGACCCTTTTCTTTTTTAGTTGTTTCGCCTAAATTTTTTTCTTTTTTCATGTGCAGATAGTGTCTGTTCTCCTTACAGTTTCGTGTCAAACAATGACAACCAGCTACGGACAGGAGATATATTTCCAAACCGGGCATTCAAGAGCTACCAGAATCCAGACCTGTACGCTGTTGAGAAGGAGAAGTTCCTGGCTTCGCTCTGCCAAGTCTCCGATTTCAGCAACCATCATCCCTGGTACTTCTGGAACTCGATGCTCAAAAATGGCAACTTCGACATGAGCTCGGGGCTATGTCCGGCGACTTCGAAAGCAAGTTCTCTTCAAGTTCACACTCAGCTGACGAGACCTTTCAAAAAGATTGTCAACGCATTCCCTTGCTTCGGTGATGGCTGCATGAACCAACCGGTTGTTGTCCACGAACAGTCCACCATCCAGCGGAATTGCAGTTCCCATGGCTGTGTGGATGATCTCAAAGGCAGATTTTACGGCACCTACGACTTGAACAGGAGCCCCGAGAATGTGACAGCGGGCATGTCGTTCTTCTCGGTGGCGTGGGAGAAGAACATATCGTCTGGAAGCTGGATCTTCAAGCACAGGCTCCAAGTATCCAAGAACTATCCGTGGCTGATGCTTTATCTCCGAGCCGACGCAACTTCTGGACTTTCTGGAGGCTATCCATGGGACACGCGAGGCATAATGACACGGGTAAAGTTCAGAGTATTTTATCTACGCTAATCGCTTTGCCTTCCAGGTTCCCGAATCACCAAACTTCAAAGTAGTTGTCACTCTCAACGTCACCAAAGGCGGCGGCCCCCAGAGCCTGTTCTATCTTCTAGACATCGGTGGCTGCTGGAAGAACAATGGCCAGCCATGCGACGGTGACGTGAAAACCGACGTGACACGCTACAGCGAGATGATCATCAATCCAGAGACGACGAACTGGTGCACTCCATCGAGGCTAGATCTCTGTCCGCCATACCACGTAACTTCGACCGGCACCATAGTCTACCGCAATGACACCGTCAACTTCCCATACTCGGCTTATCATCTCTACTGCTCGCCGACAAACGCAGAGTTTCCAGAGCATCCGTTCTCCGTGTGCGATCCTTACAGCAATCCGCAGCCACAGGAGCTTGTCCAGATTTTGCCTCATCCTGAGTGGGCGGTGAATGGCTACCCGAGCCGGAAAGGAGAGGGATGGATTGGTGACGCAAGGACTTGGACTTTAGACGCAGGAGCTCTCTCGAGTAGGCTCTATTTCTACCAGGCAAGTCTCTTTTTGTCTTTTTTTTTTATAGTTTTTCTTTTTTCTGGACGTTGTTTTGCCTTCACAGGACCCAGGATCGTTCCCAGCAAGAAGAGTCTGGCCTTCGATAGACATCGGGACAGAAATATATATTAGTTCGAGTGAAGAACTTGCTGAATGGACGGTGACTGATTTTGATGTTTTAGTTCCAGTGAGATTATGAGCACATTGTTTTTTCCTAAGCTAAGAGTAGCATTATAATTGCTTATTTATTTACACAATTGCTATTTTTCCTAAACTACTAGCTTTATTATGCTTATATAAAAGCTCCTACACCATAATGACATTCTCCCCCACGGTGTAATAAGTGATATCTGTAGAGATTAAACTCTTGTGATAGAGTTTAGCATCAAACTTGTCTTCTGCTGAGGAGAAGACAAGTTTAATAATCTCGTCAAATACTTTTTCTGATACTGAAACTTCTGCCAGTAATCTCCAAGCATACTCCTCAGTGGCCCTCTCAAAATCTTCTTTCCGCTTCAAAACAATGTGACCACTTATTTCCCACACTGCAGGATTCACTTGAGTTTCTAAAATCTCAAGATCAACTTCACCACGAGCTTGTTTCTCAGCATAACACTGAACAAAAATAATAATTAATATGATATGATAAAACTATAATATCTAAATCTTACCTGTGGAAATAAAAAGATTTGACATCCTTTATTAGCGATAAGAATATTATAAGGAATGTTTCGTCCTTGAAGCCCCTTGCAAACCTTGATAATATAAAATGCTAATTCTTCAAAGTTGCTTTCTCCAACCTCATAAACAATACCCTTAACTGGATAGTTTTCTAGTTGATATACTTTAAAACCTTTATAGTGGTGAAGTATTAATTTGGTTGGAGCTTTCTCCACAGGAAAACAATTTCCCAAATAATAAGCCTATAAAAATAAAGTAAATAAATATACAATTATAAAATATAATAATATTACCTGAAAATGGAGATGATTTATTGTTGCAAATGCACCCAAACTATTATAGCCCAAGCGAAAGAATGGACTGCTTGCTTCTGCTGCCATATAAATTGCCAAAAGAAATGTATCAGTCTCTAAATGTTGTGGTATGCAATCCAATACTCGAGGGACTAATAATATATGCCCATATTCAATTGGACTCACCTATAACAAAAAATTTTAAAAATCAAGAATATAAAGAGAAAGAAAAAAAAATACTTACATTAATCACCACCACATTTGGGCTACCTCTAATATATGCTTTTGAATGATAATAACTTTTATCATTGTTACTTTGCTCAAAGCAAAATAACATTTCCTCTTGACCGACCTTTGTAAAATTGAATTTCTTATGATCAAAAGGTTGTAAAACCTGATCCACACGAAATTCAGTTGGACGTTTCTTCAAATGTCGGCCCTCATTTAATTGAGCTATAAAGCCATATTTTCCTGGTAAGACCTTTATAATTATAATAATATTAATATCATTATCTTTATAAAATAAATAATAATTACCTTTGTATCACAAGCAGTGACATCATAACGAAAAAGTCCTTCTGCTTGCTTATCTGCCCACTATATTATAGCACCATAAAAACATTAAATTCACTTAAATAAAAATAATCTTTAAAAAAGCATACTTGACCAAGAATTGCTGAATCAAGAAAGGAATTTTGCCCCAACTCTTTTGATTGAATTTCTCCATGTTCATCCAATTCCTGATTTCCAAATAGATAAAGAGGCAGTCTAGCTCCTACAGCAAAATAAACAAGTATGAGAAAACCATATATATAAGGAAATAAATCTCTCACCAGGAATGCAACAAGATCCCAAACAATTCTTGCCGCACCCAATCTTGGATTCAAGACTCTCCTGATAGTTGGATACAATTGTTGGAATCCTCCTGATTGTCAACATCTTTGACTCCATTGAATTTGTCCTCAACTTTGCCTTGCAAGGTTGCAAGAGCCAAATGATTGCCTAGAGGCAATCAAGAGAAAACAGAGCTCCGGCACCGCCCCCAGCCAAATTCAGAAGATCTGATGGGTGCCCTCCTGCAGCAGGAGCGGCCCCGCGACCACCGTGGAAAGAAGGAGAACTCAGAACGCGTGCTATGCAGAAACTCCTGGCAACATCCACACTCCCTACGGAATTCCGAAACTTGAGATTCAAAGCCGTGATGAAAGATTGAAAAGCTCCAGCACGCAGAAATTTGCTCCCTGCTCCCTCACACCAATCCTTCCACTCTGAAATGAATTGCTCAAACCCTATAAAGGATTACAGACTACGCTTTTCCTTTAGTATTGGGATATGTGATGCATGGGATTGCCACGTGGCAAGCTCTCGTTTCTACAAAAAAACTTCTGGCTAGAAGTTCTCTTTTTCTAGCTTCCTTGGAGCTTCCCCGTATCCAACCCGGAAAGAAAGCAAGCGGTCCTTCAAAAAAAATATTCTACCCTAGATGATTTCAAAGAAGATCGGTGCGCGGCGAGATTTGGCCGCTATCAACTTAGCAGGAAGTTTGTCACAAAGTTAGGCACCAACCAGGGTCTTCTTATTCCCTTTGAATTTTAGCGAGAGAAGAAATTTACGACGCTCAAGATAGCGACAACCTTCTGGAAACTCGAATGATACTATCTAGATCGAGACGTGTACGTTCTCGCATACGCAGCCTTTCAGGAGATTCTTGATCATCCGCTGGCCTTGGTCGAGCTATGGATATGGAGTTCTCATCACTGTTCTCTCCCTCGGACGCCGTCAATGACAAACACGGTGCTCACTCTCCTGACGAGTTTCCAATTGTAGAGGCCGAGCACCAGCGTCTCCGACTCGCACCGCGTGGTAAACGAGCTCATCGCTTGCGACGATCACTCCGGTGGAATGCTTGACACTCGCCCCGCAGTCCCCGCTCTCTAAGCACTGGCTAGAGTGGCATGGACCCCTGAAAGACGAGGATCTCGTGAGCGATGCCTCCGAGAGAGCCGAGCGTGCAAACTCCCAGCGCCGACCAGTGGAGGATCCTACGCCGCTTTCGAGGAGGCAGGATCTTCGCTGCGATCTTCGCCGTGATCTTCATCGAGAGCGATGATCTCGGCAATTACACAAGAGTGACTTTCCTTTACTCTTGATGCTGACTCTCTTATATACACTTTCACTTCTAGCACTAGTCTCTCATCGTACAGTGCTCTCTTCGTTGACCAGACAAGAGAGCGTGATTCTTCCGGAGCAATCCTTGTCTAGGACGTTGAACTGCCTACACACGTCCATGATCTCCTTCTCACTGATCTTCCCCATCTCCTTGAGCTTGTATATCACATACTCGGACTTCCTGTATGCAGCAACGAGAAAACATATATACTTGAGTCAAGATCACTGGAGAAAAAAAAGACTTTGAAAGCTTACGTGACGAAGCCGTTGTTGTCCATGTCCGCAGCAACTAGATCCGCCACCGTCATCTCCCTGTGCAGCACCCACTTTGCGATCAATCGGTTCCTCTTATCGATCCTCGCCTCGGCTAGAAACAGAAACGACCGAGCAACCGCCAGAGTGCTCACGAGCAACCACCCCGCAGCAAAAAGCCTGCCTTTGAAAGTCTTGAACGTGTGATCCCCGTAGCCAACCGTCGTCACGGACATGGTGGAGAGATAGAACGAGTCAAGCCACCCGAGCTCCTCCATCCAGTGCATGAAGAGAGTCCCGATCGCGAGGCAGAAGAACACGACCCCGAGCGCTAGGCCGACTTTCATCCGGATTCTCATCCTCCCCTTCTCCGTGTTCACCACATAGTTCTTGGCCGTCTCGTGGTGACTCCCCTCCACAGCACTGAGAAGGAGGTGTTCTTGCCGCTCGAGAACGTAGGCCACCATTCCACTCAGGAGTATGTCGATGAAGCCGAAACCAACGAGCACGAAGAAGCACGCGAAGAGCTTCGCCGATGGAGAGGTCGGGGTGATGTCGCCGTAGCCGATGGTACACATCGTCACGATGCAAAAGTAGAGCGCGTCGATGACTGGATACGTCGAAGATCCTGAGAAGTCGTCCGTCCTCCACACGTAGATCGCGACCCCGATAGCGAGATAGATCATGAGCCCGATGCTAGCTTGCACCACCACGGTCGTGGCGCTCTCCAGCTTTGGCCTCGTGAGCTTCTTCGACTTGTCCCGCTTGGAGTAGTTTACGTTGAGCGCTGGCGCTGTCCGCGATTTTTTCAAGTACTTCCTCTTCACAGGAAACCCCGGATGATCGCATTCCTTGGCGTCAGGCAGCTTCTCCAAAGTCTCGGAGCACTCGCTGGATAATCCCGAGAGAGTAGCAAGCAGTCCAGTGGTTTCGTCACCGCCACCGAAAAAAGAAGAGCCCCTTCTCTCCATCGGCGTCTCCTCCTCCTGTTCATCATCCCCGTTCTTGCTCGAGTAAAGCATCCATTGTTTTTCCTCCGCGGTTGGGTATAGATTATATGCTCGCCGAGACCCTCCCTGGCTCAAGAAATCCTCTGTCTCGTCTTGGCCCTCGCAAGCGTTGAAAAGCCTGGGGAGATAGAACCCTGCGGGGCTCTCCAGCGATCCATAGACCAGCTTCTCCTTGAATGCCAGAGGTGTGATCGGGATTGCCACTTCCCCCGGAGCCGCTGCTTCATCTTCCACCACTAGCCGGTGCAAGGAGAATGGTCGGCGCTGGCTGCCGAGAAGTGGCTGCTCCATCCCCGGGAGCTGGAAATCCTCATAAAACCGAGAGCTTCCGGAGAAAATCCTGGCAATGCCGATGGGCCGCGGGGAGAATTCCTGTGCTCCCGGATTGAGATTACTTACAAGAATCGCTACGCCATCGCGGAGGGACGACGAAGTCAAGCTCTCCGATAATAGGGTTTTCTTCTCCTCCAGGGAGCTTCCATCCCCGCCGTTGATTTGCGCGAATCACCGGGTGACACGTCAACTAACGTATCTCCGAGGATATTCTCAGCTTTTCTATTTTGTTTTTATGGGCGCGCCAAAATTCAAAGATTTGTGTCTGGCCCAATTTTGCTTTCCGTTACAATCTTTTTATTTTCTTTGTTTCTTTTAGGGTTTATGGCGCCGGCGGGAGCGCCACTGCGCGTCTTGGAGTTCTACAGCGGCATTGGTGGCCTGGTAAAGAGATTATCGCGCAGATTCGTGGATCCACACACTCTCGCATTCGTTCTTGCAGCGATTCTCACTCGAGGAGGCCAAGATCGATGCCACGGTCGTGGAGGCGTTCGAGATAAACGAGCTCGCCAACGATGTGTACGAGCGGAATTTCGGCCATCGCCCTAATCAGGTGTGTGCTAGCTAGGACAGTGCTTTGGATTGATTGATTTGAGAATCCAGGGAAATATCCAAAGGCTTTCCGTCAGCGATCTAGACAAATACGAGGCCGACGCATGGCTGCTCTCTCCGCCGTGTCAGCCTTACACTCGACAAGGTGTGCGATTCTTTTGCTCTTTATTCCTTTCATGTGGAAAATGTGGACAGGGCTACAGAAGGATTCTGCCGACGCTAGAGCTTCGTCCTTTCTCAAGCTTTTGGACACGATCTCTTCGCTGTCGATTCCTCCGGCGCATGTTTTTATTGAAAACGTTGTTGGATTTGAGGTAATGGGATTAAGTTGCGATTGCTTTCTCCCTCACCGGTGTCTGTTTTTCTTGCTTTTTTTTCCTTTCCTAGACTTCGCATACACGAAGTCAGCTGATTAAAGTGCTCGAAGACACCGGTTTTAGAATACAAGAGTGTATTATCAATCCGCTCCAGTTTGGGATTCCATATTCTCGGCCCCGTTACTTCTGCCTGGTAAATCACGTTGGTGTTCGAGAGAGAGCATGACTTACCCGTGCGATTTCTCCAGGCCAAGCGTGAACCTTTCCAGTTTTCACGTTCCGACTTAAACGGGCAACTTGTTTCCTGCCCTTTCGATTTTTCCACCAACAGGGACTTCCATGTTGAAACTAAAACTGTCGGCGAGTACCTGGAAAATCCTTCCGACTGCATGGAAGACTATATGGTCCCGTCCACTACAATTGCAAGATGGGGAGAAGCTTATGGTATCCTTGACAGCTGGTTGATCGTTTTGTGAAGTTGTTCTTAACAGTGGCGACAAAGATATTGTTACACCCGATTCCGGAAGATGTTGCTGCTTTACAAAGAGCTATGCACGATATGCCAAAGGCACTGGTTCCATTTTAGTCACAAATCCATCCTTTTACAAGGTAGCTTTGGAAAGATTTCTTTTCTTTTCTTTTCTGTGATTGAGCTAACACAATGGCTCTCGTGCTCGCAGTATTTTAGCAAGGACCCGGCTGAACTCAGTGACCTGGCATGGTTGCAGTCTGCTGGCTTACGCTATTTCACACCACGCGAGGTATTTCCTTGCGACTTTTTCTGTATATGTTTGTGATGCTCGAGGTTGCAGGTTGCAAATTTCCATTCTTTTCCAAAGGGATTCGACTTTCCTGATCACTTATCTATCAAACAACGGTACGTTTTAGCTGTTCTCATTGCAGATTGGTTGTGTTACGGTTCTTGCACAGATATGCTCTTCTTGGAAACAGCCTCAACATCAAAGTCGTGGGATACTTGTTAAACTACCTTTTTTCTACGTAACGCTGGCGTAGCCATCGAAGCCCTGGTCCAAACCAAAGCCGTGGTTTTCTTTTCCTTCTCGTCTCACGATATTTCGTACGAACATACGGTATATCTATAGTTAATTTGGGCTTGTATTTAAACTGTCCATTTCTGGCAGAAGGGGAGATTTGGTCTGGGAGGCGTTTCTTACATCTTCGAGCAAGTTTGCGATGGCGGTCAAAGTTTACATTGTGTAAGCCTTCCTGTCTCTCTTGCCTTTGTAAGCGATGCATTGCTCCCGCGTTGTTTGTGCTTTTATTGTCCCTGGAACTGTGTGGATCGGCCCCAAATTGCCTGTTTCTCGCATTCGGGTACCCTAGATCCACACAGATCTGGGTTGACTTCCTTTAGCAATGCGATGCCTCGTTTTACTTTTGATTGGCTCACTGAAGAATCAAACTTTTGTTTTTGTTCTTTTCCATGCCGCGCAGGTACTACTCGATGTATGGTCATGTTGAGAAGCTGGCTCAGGAGATCACCAAGGGCGCTAACTCGGTGGAAGGTGTCGAGGCTTCTCTTTGGCAGGTAAGCCACAGATTTTCGTGCTTGTTTGTCAACTGAAAAATAAAAGAGAGGGAGAGAGTGATGGAGAAGAGCTTGCTTGCTTGGTCGAAAAAAAACTATGTAACTGAGTTTGCGATCGAAATTTCCAGGTGCCAGAAACACTAAGTGAGGACGTTCTAGGCAAGATGGGAGCACCTCCAAAGTCGGAGGTCCCAATCATACAACCTGGCCAGCTCGCTGATGCTGACGGACTGATATTCGGCTTTCCCACGCGATTTGGCATGATGGCTGCACAATTCAAAGCTTTCATGGATGCCACTGGTGGCCTCTGGCGTGCCCAAACACTCGCCGGTAAACCGGCCGGAATCTTTTACAGCACTGGCTCCCAAGGAGGCGGTCAAGAAACTACAGCGTACGTATTGCATTCTCGTTTCGTTCTCGTGCACGCATCTAAAGCATGGATTGTTTTTATCTCTCACTCTCACTCTTCTCTTTTTTACGTGCAGGTTGACAGCTATAACGCAGCTTGCTCACCACGGTATGATCTTCGTGCCGATCGGCTACACTTCTGGCGCTGGGATGTTTGAGATGGTCCAAGTGAAAGGCGGCTCTCCATACGGTGCTGGAACTTTGGCCGGGGACGGGACTCGGCAACCATCAAAGCTGGAGCTGGAGACAGCGTTCCACCAGGGGAAATACATTGCCGCCATCACCAAGCGCCTGGCCACTAAATCCGATTGAGAGAAACCATCTCCGCGAGCTCTAAGGTACTTTGCTCTTTCTTTCTTTGGTTCTTTTTCTTATGCTGGCTGTGATTGCTAACAGATAAAACCGCGGGACTTTGATATATTGTTCTTCCTCTTTGGAGATTCCCGTGGAAGGAATCTCAGGGATGCTTTGGATTGTTTATAAGAAGACGATTTTTTTGGTTTTTGCTTTTACTATGTTTTCTTTCCAGTAAAGAAGAAGAGAGAATCACCGTGATGGTATGGAACTGGTAAAAGGAAAGGGTTTCGTGGCCCCGGTGAGTTTCTCCTTTTACTTTTTAGGATTGTTTTTCTTGCTTTGGATGCAAGGCAAGACAAAAAATACACAGTGGAATGATTTTCTCGTGTGGAAAGCAGGTTTGATTATTACATCACGACCTCAGGGTCAATAACACAAGAAAAAAATCTTTCAAGCAAAATCCGATTCTTTTGCTTAATTTCTCGTCAACACTTTTTTCCAGCACAAGATCTGATCTTGCCGCTTGAATTCCTGTTTACTCTTGGATTGAGACGTGAAATTTTCCTTCCCTGCGAGTACATACTAGAATCTTAGTAACTTGAAAAGGTGGCATACTCTATAGGGGGAAACGAGAATGATCTGGGTCTGGGTCGCTCCCATGGCTCGCATGATGCAAAAAAGACATTGTACATATTGACTTCGTCGTTCTATACATTGTCCTTCTCGCTACAAAGTATGCAGCGTAGACCAAAGCTCATCAGATTTGTCGCTGCTTCGTGGGGATCTTTGCATTTCTAGCTCCAATAGCTGCCAGCGAGCCAATGAGGCTAAAAGCTTGCAAACCCTACGACTAGTTTCTACTGAAAGCAACCAAAGAGATGGGAGACAATGTAAACAAGTCAGGACAGGCAAAAGGAGAAGTGTAAAGTTTTGGTATTAAACACGCATACACTCACAAAAGTCTTTCCAAGTGTATAGACTGTCACAAAGTTTTGGCTGCGTTCCTGGAATTTTCATGTGCTTGTCCACGGCCCAGTAGTGGAGAGTCAATGCTGAGTTTTGTCTTGCACATATGGAAACAGGTGATCTATCAACATTCTTCTTGTTCTTGTTGTTCTTGGCAATTTCTTTTGCGTTTCTTTGGGTGTGAAGAGGTTCTCCTAGTTGACTAGTTTGACTCTAGTTGCTTTTCTAGCTAGGTTGTGATGATTCGCTATGTATCCGCTGCAATAGGCCTTCGTCGTGGTGTCTTGTCTCGGTATAGATTTGTCTATGCTGTTTGGAATGTTCAAAAGATTAACAAATAGGTGTTTCAATGTTTGTGCACACACATGTGTTGTGATATATCAAGACTGTAGTTTGAGAGGGAGAGGAAGAGGAATTCGGATGAGCGAGGAAACGGACCTTCCCCATGTCCCTTGCAGGGATATTTCAATCTATTAAACGGATTCAGTGCAGAGCGGCATCTCGCCTAGAGAGTCACACCAAAGCGGGAGAGGAAAATATTCCACACGATCTCCAAAGGGAAGCTCGTGGTGATGTCTATGTGGGTACAACTTTTAACAATGTTGCTGAAAGGTGGCACATTTCCTCAGAAGGGTCGTTGCCATCGATCACATTCGTTATCACATGGATATTCCTCTCTCTTTCTTCAGCATGTTTAGGAGCTTCTTGCTGTTTTGGATCACGATAGATCTAGATCATCGATGATTATGGTTCTGCAGTGAAAGATTTGGCAAAACTTTCATATGCTAACCAAGCATGGATTGGGACCAGTAAGTACTTTCATTCGCTGATCAGGCATGGATTGGGACCAGTAAGTACTGGCGAAAGTGATTGTCTGCAAAAAGAAAACTCTAGAAATGTGTGTGGCCTGTTCTTCTTCTGGAAAACTTGGAACAACCAGCCAAGACTGGTGCAAATTCCTAGAAAACGAGATCTTCCTGCTTAAGGAGACCGTTTGTTGACCAAAGACTGGTTTGACCAGGCTAATACCTCCCCAAAGTACGTATAGCAGAGAGCGTATATGTCGTATCTAGTGTTCTCAAGGACATCATGATTGTATGGTATGGAGGGAGAAAGAAGGGGGCCCATGCCACATGCGCATGGGGCCCCATGCCAGGTCGGTCGGTCACTTTATTGACCTGGGGCCCACGTGGAGCGTGCCGTGCCACGTAGGTAAAATTCCCCCGCCCCTTTCCCCTTTCACACCGCCAGTAGTCAACCAATAAAGAAAGGTAAAGTGGGCGTCACCCGTCAACGGCTGACGTGACGTGGTGATCTGTAGGTCGGCGGGAACGTGGGCCCCACGTGGCAGGCCACGTGGGAATATGACGACACGTCAGCGGGCCCCAAGCCAGAGGTCAAACTGTGGTCCCTCCCGTCCGTCACGTTCTCCGGCAAACGCAACGGATGCCCAGCGTTTACATTCTCCTTTAAGTTTTTCATTTCTTTTTTGCAAAGGTGGCGTTGACTTTGATGGTTGACAATGTGATTTCCTGAAACGATTTTTCTGATTTAAAGCTGCAACCTTGGCTCCCAAGCATCAGGCGTCTTTTGTGACCAAAACAATCACTGCTTTGCTGCTGGCTGCAAGAGATTGGGGCAAATGGATTTACTTATTGGATCCATCCAGCTTTCAACTACAGATCGACTCTTCTCATTCTTAAGCTCCAAGTTGTTGAATGAATCCGGGTGGCCAAAGGCCAAAGGTGGTGGTACAAAAGATTATTATCATCACCCCAAGCTTTTCAAAAAGAGAGTCCTCATCATTCAAGCGATGCCGAGTAAAGATTCCGGGGCGACATATGGCGAGAGTTTCCTTGCTGATGCTTACTTCTTTTTCTCCCAATAGTAATTTCATTCAAAACTATATATCAAAGTTGCCCGGCTTCGCCATCTTGACTATAAAACGTGTCAACTTATGCCCACAAAACTATAGAGTTGGATTAACTTGTCTTGGGATTTCTTCCTATGCGCTGCGGGGACATGATAGCTTCTATAATAATTGGCATGGAAGCATCAAAAGCAGTCGAGAGAGAGGTCCATCCATCAATTCGATTCATGGATGCCATATAAATCAATCCTATAGGATCATAGTCCTCGCCAGGCAGAAAGAGATCCATGTACGAGATGATCCTATTCTCTTCACCCCCTAAACCACCAACATGGAGAATACTAAATCTCCATGAGGTTATTTCCATTTCATACTTTTGGCCTTCATTTCCCCTTTAAAAACACATTGCTTGATGCGAAGAGGATTGATTAGACAAGTTTCCGTGTGTGTGTGTGGACCCAATGCTGGATCCCAAAAAATGCATACACAAACAATGCAATGTTTAAGTAACATGGTAGCTATCGAAGAAAAAAATCTTCTTCTTTAGAAAAAGTGGGAGAATTCGATAGAACTTGATGGAAAAACTGGCTGTAATGAAGGGTGGCACAAGGATTTGTATGAGGCACAAAGAGCCAACCACAAAACTATATGAAAAACCGCCAGATTCTTGTCCCAGTCGCGTATAGATTTCGCTTCCAAAATCAAATGCCAAAGAAAGGAGGGAGAGCGAAAGGAATATTTTACAAGGGCGGGGGGTCCGGCGGGGGTTCGATACCGGCCAGGGCCATGAGGATGCTGCCCGCGGGCACCATCACGCGTGGCCCCTCGAAAACGCGGACAGCTGCACGCGTGGCATGGCCATGGCGGACGGGCAGCTGCCCGTGACGACCCCCGCGAAATGCGGGAGGGGGGCTGACGTCACCCCTGCCCGTCACTGGATCCAACGGCTATGATGCGGACACGTGGCATGGGCATCCATGGCCCATTCATGCTGGGATAACTATAACTACATATATATACTCATTGGCCTGGGTTGACTCCTCTTCTTCTTTGTTTTGTTGCTCGGGAGAGAGCTCGTTCGTCTCGCTCCAAAGATTGCCCCGGTCAAAGCCCAGAATTTTATTTGGATTTGTGGAGCGCAGGGATCACTCGCTGGATCCAGTTTGGCAATCGCATTTTACAAATTCTCACTCTTCTTCTTCCAGCGCTAATGAAGAATCTCTTGTGTTGTCGTTACTAAACGCGCCAGGGAGGAATTCCCGTTCGATCTCCACGCTATATATTCTAACAATTCTCCTTGGTGGGAGACGTTTGGAGATCTTCCTCTTGTCAAGACCCGTGGCCCCGGCTCGCCACAAAGAAAAATCGTTTTCTTCTTTCTTTCTTAGGAGGAGGGGAAGGGTTGATGCAGTCGATAGCAAGACTTATAACTCTCCTCTTTCTTCTCCGGAGTAGTGTTTCTCGAGAGATCTCGCGCCGCCGCCTCGATGTTGCATCACGCAGATAGCCGGCTGCTGAATGCGTTCCCGTTTTCAGGAGCAGAATCAGCAATTGCGGCCGTCAATCTGTCTCAGCTGCTGCTCTCGTCCACCACATCTGCATCCAGCAATCCACAGCAGAAATCAGCAGCAACAGCTTGCGCTAGCGTCGCTCACAGCCCTCTCAATTCCGAAGGCTCCTCGACGAACAGCACCACCACCACCACCACCACCAATCTTGAATGTTCCACATCCATACAAGCTCCACCACCACAAGCCATCCATTCCTCGGTGTAAGTTCTTGAAACACTATACCGCACAGTGTTCCATAGTCTTATCCGATTGCCGTGTGAGAGAATTCTTACTGATCGTGTGCTCTCTTCTTGCAGCTGGTCCGAGATCTTGAATGGTGCTGCTTCTAATTCCTTCATGGGTGACAACTTAGAGAACGCGCTTCCAACTTCGTCCAGTTTGAGCTCCACCGCGCCACCGGTCACGAGCAGCGGCACGGCAGTCTCATCATGGTGGAGCGGGCGAGATCAGGATGATCAGCTCCCAGCCGTGAACTGGAACCAGACCGCTGGATCCACCCAAGGCTTGCCGGATCTCGAAGGTGGAGACTGGTCGCCGGGACAATTGGGTTGCCTCCCCACGGCTCCAGAAGTGAACGAGCAGCTCCCCAGCCACCATATGGCGATCGAGCACAGCGATTTCACCTCCACCATGAACACCACCCTGGTGGATCCCGATCAGATTTCCGGCAATCCAGCTTCATGGGGCTCCATTCTCATGTACGAAATCTCTTGCTATTTCTTTCTTACGTTAGCCATGCCGTGATTTGCGGACGTATCGTGGGGAACTAAATTCTCTTTGTTTGTGTCTGCACAGAGGGAGCTCCGGGAATGAGGAAGCTAGCCTTGACAACGAGGCCTTCTTCTCCAGCATGAAGCTCTTGAACAAGGCCGTGTCAGAGCCGTGGCCCGAGTTTAGTCCTCTCAAGAGCTCGGCCGCTGCTTCTGGATTCGAAAGCATTGACGACATGATGATCAAGCAGCAGCAGCAGCAATTCTCGCTGCCGGGCCATCACTTAAACATGGATTCGAGCACCAATTGGTCATCGAGAGCAGCAGCAGTTACCAGCAGCCTGGACGGTTTTGGAGGCTCCCAACTCATTGGAGGCAGGAGCAAGATCAAGCAAGAGATGGATGCACAGTTCCTCATCACCCAACAGCAGCAGCAGCAGCAGCAGCACTCGATGCTTCCACCACCACCGACGATTCCAAATCCAAACAACGTCATGATGAGCAGCGAGGTGCCCAGCCCTAGCAGATGGGGAGCTCACTCTAGCAGATTACCAGCCATGCTCTCGCAAGTTCTTCCCTCAACTTCGAAGCGTGGTGGAAACCTGTTTGGATCCGGTTCGAGGTCTTTTGGAAACTATGTGAGCCCGAAAGCCGAGCCAGCTTTGTACTCGAACAGCAAAGGCCAGCAGCAGCAGAGAGAACAAAGCTGCTCCATGTCCCAGCACAGCTCGGGAATCACCTCACAACATTCGCATGACAGCAAAGATTCTCATGCCAGCAAACACTTGGTAAGCCACCACACAAAACTTTAGACACTTATCTTCTTTTTTCTTCTCTTCTTGTCAAGGCTTCTTGTTCTTCTTGCTCTTGTTCTTGAAACTTCTATCACTGCACTGCAAGGATCATTTTTCAAAAGGAGAGGAGAAAAAGAAGAGAATCATAGATATGATCATGCATGAACTTTAATTTTCTCTTTCCTTTCCTTGCTGCTTGTCTGTGTGTTCAAGCGGAACTCGAGTAGTGCAACTTTACCTAGCTGGATGATCTCTTTGCTAAGTTGTTGTTGTTCGTTTTCTACATGATATAGATGGATGAAAGCCGAGAGGTTTTGTCGTCCGAGCCTGTTTCAAAGCGAGGATCAAACAGCAGCAGCGATCATCCAGAGACATTCTTCAAGAGGCCAAGGATAGAGCAGCAGCAGCAGCAGGCAGCTCCAACTTTACCTTTCAAGGTGAATTTCTTTCCTTCTCTCTGTTCTGTTCTCCTTTGCTTTTCTCTTTCATAATCTTCTCTTTTGTTTTTCTTTTTTAAGTTGCTACCTTTTGTTTTTCCACAAAAGAAACCTTGTGAACTGAGAGTTTGATGAACAGGCCACCACATTCGTTTTGCAGGTGCGGAAGGAGAAACTGGGTGAACGGATCACAGCACTCCAGCAGCTAGTGGCTCCATTTGGAAAGGTGTGGATAAAAACTCCCTCGAAATTCTTTACTTGGCTGTGGATTTTTTTCGCTGGATTCAAGGCTGATGGGTGTTTTCTCTCAGACTGACACTGCTTCTGTCCTTCTGGAGGCCATAGGCTACATTAAGTTCCTGCACGAACAAGTCCAGGTAATGTCCCAGATTACTTTAAACACATCCCCAAGTGAAGGAGCTTACCTCCGGGATCATTGCATATCACAGCTATTTGCTTCTGTGGGTTTGATCATTGTATCACGTGTGTCTGTGTGTCTTACTGCCTGTTTATACATCTTCCATCTCCTGGCACCGTGTTACTGCTTGTTTGTCTTACTGCTTGAGAGACAAACAAGCAATCACAAAAGAAAGAAAAAAGTATAGAAAAGAGAGGAAAAGAATGCTTAAATCTGCCTGCTGGGCTGCCTGTGAATGATCCAGACGTCTGCCTGTGTGAGGCTGCATCGAATCAAGCAGCCCAAGCTTTGGTGGATGGGATGATTGCATTCTCTTGCTGCTCCCAAGCTCTGGAAACTGGGCCTGACCGTACAACTGTTTTGTTCACATGCTGCCAGGTTCTAAGCACACCGTACATGAAGAACGCAGTTGCAGGCGCTGGAGTCCCGGGGAGGCCCAATGTAAGTGATTGATCAGCCCTCGTCGCTCTCGTACTCTTTTCTCTTTCGCAGCTTTATCTCTCTCCCGCTCTCTCTCTCTTTTATTCTCTCTTCTAAATTTCTTCCCTCGTTATCAAAAGATAAAGTTTACAAACGCTATAGATTGCCAAACTACTCTAATTCTCTGCTGCAAGAGTTCTCTTCTTACTTCTCGTCCCTTCTGTCTCACTACTGCGAGCTGTGTGTTAGAATCATGGCAGCATCTTTCCTGTCTCGATTGCTTGGCAGCGGTCAGTAGCGGCATGGGTTTTCTAAAGCATTTAGAAAGATGCTTTTGTCAAGTTGATCAATGCATATAGATCGATTCCTGGTTGATCGATACGGGATAGAATTTCCAATATATACTAATTAATGTGTGGCTTTCACCACAACTTGCAGGTGGTGGAGGGTGCGATGAAAGGATCATCCTCGTCTTGGGCGATGAGTTCTTCCGATGCATCGAACAAATCCAGAGACAACGACGAGCCAAGGCAGGATTTGAGGAGCCGAGGGCTTTGCCTGGTTCCAATCTCCTGCACACTCCAGGTTGCCAATGACAATGGTGCCGATTTTTGGACTCCGAACATTGGGGGAGGGGGTGGCGGTGGTGGCGTTGCTGGTGGTGGTGCCGCTGGAGGTGGCGGCTCCGCCAAATGAACAGGATCAATCTATCATAGATCTTTCAGCGACGTTAACGCGCACGTCACCTCTCCAAGTACGTATATAGATTATGTACGTTAGATCAAGACTTCGAGCATTCGATCATTCGATTTAGCTATGTCTACGCCCAACGTTCTCTATTCTACTACTGCAGTACGTACAGCCGCTTGCGAGAAGATCATCCAAGACACACAAGCTCACATTGGTGATCGACCGCTTCATATGTGAGTGACCGTATAACTATAAATATTGTAGATAGCCACCTAACAACATTTTCGTTGGACACTCTAACTTGATTATTTCGCTAATTACCAAATTAATAAAAGGTTCCCCGCCAACCATGTATCTAAGAGAAAGAGTTTTAACAATTCTCACTCAAGTTCTCCCATTCAAGCACAGTAAAATAGAAAAAACTCCATTAGTAAATTCCTGATCTTTATCCTTTGAGGAACTACAATAGTATAATGGAGCGTGTGATAACGAAACAAGGCCAAGAAATATCAAACGATTCCCTGCAAGCCACAGCAAAGAAAGCGAATATGCTGGGCACTTGACATGTGCAGATGCTATCATGAGCGCACGCGGGCCGTACGGACTGCCCATCCGTACCAACGGTACCAAAATACGGAATATTCTAACGAACGTTCTAGACGCCAACATGGAATGACCTAGAAGCTTTCAAGCGCGTGAGATTAGGGTTTAAGGCGAAGAACGAAGAGGAGAGGAAGCGTTGCGCGCGAGCGATTCACGCGGGGTGCTTTGGAATGGCTGCCGACGGCGAGGTATGTCGATTCCGCGATCGATCGATCGAGGATTTTCTTGCGCTGATCGCCGAAATCTCGCGTTGTAGGCCTCGCATTCCGTGGTTCTCTACGTCTACGACCTGAGCCAGGGCCTGGCGCGGCAGCTCTCGACTTCGCTGCTCGGGGCAGCGATCGAGGGCATCTGGTATGTCACGGGCAAATTTCCCTCGTTAGCTCAAAGATCCCCAATAACTTCCAAGCTTATAGTTCCAAGTGTTTTTCTTCACAGGCACACTTCGGTGGTGGTCTATGGCACCGAGTACTACTACAGCGGTGGAATCACGACCAGCAATCCGGGGCGCACGCCCTACGGCCGTCCCGTGAACACGGTCGAGCTTGGAAGAACTCAAGTGCCAAAGGAGGTGTTTGAGGATTACCTCAGGGAGATCAGTCCCCGCTACACGGTCCAGACTTACAGCATCCTGTCGCACAATTGCAACAACTTTAGCAACGAGGTGGCGCAGTTTCTGCTCGGAGTGGACATCCCGGACTACATTTTGCGGCTGCCTCAAGACGTGATCACCACTCCCATGGGATACTTGCTCCGTGAGTGCCAATTTTGTTTTTGCTTTTGTGGATCTTTTTCTTCGCTGACTGTTTGATTCTCTTAGAGCCGATGATCCAGCAAATGGAGACCACCCTGAGATATGGAGGGGTCCCGCAAGTGCCTGAACTAGCAGAGGCGACGGGGACGCCACAGCGTGTAGCGATGGCCAGACGTGCCAAGGAAGAGTGCCTCACCACCACCATACCCGAAGACGAAGATCTAGAGCTCCAGAGGATGCGCTCTTCGCGAGCAGTCAAGACGGCTAAGGTGGCTTCTCGCGGCGATGAGGGAAGAGCTGGACGGAAGAAAGCCGCCGCCACCAAGATGGAGGACGCGAGAGCCAAAGTCCAGGAGGAGATCACTCGCGAGTTTACTGCGCTCATGGCCGCGGGAGGGCTGCGAGCCAGCGAGGCGGCGGCTCTTGCCGCGCGGAGAGTGATGGAAAGGCACGGCATTGGTGGCAGTGGCACGGCGACGCAGTCGTGATAGATACGACGTACGAGAAATTCTTTTGGGTGTGAGCGATTCTTCTACACCCCCATTGATCACACAGTTCCTTGATCGATAACAACGACGATGATATGTTTCAAGCAATATTGGGTTTTGCCGTGATTGTGGATGTAGTTTGAAACACGTGTTAAAGACTGGATCTCTGGATCGTATAGTCGACTTTGAATCAGATTTTTCCCATCGGACAAGGGAAAAATCAAAGTTGCAAAGTAAAGTTGCTATCATACAGGGTTATCACTCCATTAGCTTTGTAAGCAGGTGTCAAGCTAGCGTAGTTCATACGTTCTTGCTCTGGAACTTCAGCTATTTGAGAGGTCTAGCTGAAAGAATTGAGCGGTTTGTGATATCTTCTTGTCTAAGGAAATGTGGTCGACAGATTATCTCCTTCTCCTTCTCACAGTTGGCTTCCTTGCAAAGATTTACGTCTCAGCCCAACCAGGTCAGTAGTATTGCATAAGGGTCAATCTGAAGATTGTTTTTGCAGGATTTCTGAGCCTTGACTGTGGAGCTTATGACACTCACAGGGATGAAAATGGTATCGAATGGACGCCGGATGACAAGTATATCACCACTGGAATTAAAGCCTCCATTTCAAGTTCGGAAAAAAATGGGACAGGTTTAGTTTTGCAGCGTCTTCGCTTCTTTAACGACACCTCTCGGAAGCACTGCTATGCTCTGCCAGTGGTGGTAAACGATAGCTACATCGTGAGGCCATGGTTCTACTACGGAAACTATGATGGGATGGAATCAACTTACACACAGTTCAACATCATAATTGATGCAAACGATGTGGCAAACTTCAGCATGGATTTAACCATAAGAAACTCTCACGAGTTTGTGATTAAAGCCAAAAGCTCGACCCTGGATCTATGCTTTGGAACCCGCTCAAATTCACCGGCAAATATCCCCTTCATCTCCGCAATCGAGCTCAGAAGGCTGGATCCCGGTATGAGAATAAGTTCTTTCAATTCTAGTGAGCTTTTGATCACTTGGAGAAGGATCAATTTTGGAGCAGCTATAAATAATTACATTTGGTAAGAAATTCTTCAGAAGGTAAAAGTTCTTTTTGACTCGTATCAAACAGGTACCCTTCTGATGACTATGATCGATTATGGTTAGCTGATAAAAATTTCCCAGACATCATGGGAGGATACCAACAGATTAATACTACCTCAAATGTTTCGGTGGGAAAAACATTTGACAAGCCTCCCACAGCCGTGATGAGTTCCGCCATCACCTCCCATTCCACGATGGTTTTCCAGTTCCCACGGCTTCCCACAACGCCGACTGAATTCTACGTTAGCTTTTACTTTGCTGAGTTTGCCGCCCTGGTGAACAACACGAGGGAGTTCCAAGTCCGTTTTAACACAAGCTTGCTTGAATCTCCCCAGCTTTTGGCAACCATCAACGTTGAGAAGTCTGTACAGGCTCCTCTAACGTCATTGCAGATGTATTACAACTCTCGAGTGGAACTTTCTGAACCAACAAACTTCTTGTTTGTGCCCACGGTGAACTCTACGCTTGGTCCGATTCTCAATGCTGCTGAGCTGTGGGAGTACAAAGGAGGTCTCCTCCCAGGGACGGAAACCAACGATGGTAAAGCATATAAATTTAAATAATTGTGATCTCGTTAACATTGTCATAAACAATGCAGTGGCAGCTATACTTGATGTGATGAAAGATTTTCACATGACTGAATGGTCAGGAGACCCTTGCTTGCCTGATGCTTACACCTGGAAATGGATTACTTGCGATGTAGCTCAAATCCCAGCAAGAATTATAGAGCTGTAATAAGTGGACGCATTTCTAGCGTGATCACATTAACATCTGTGCATGACAGGAACTTGTCTAGCAGTGGACTCAAAGGAACCATATCACTGTCCATCACAAAGCTATCTCATCTAACAAAAATGTATGTATGGGTCTTTTGACGTAATTTTTCGTTCTGATGATCTTTATGTCTTCAGCTATCTGGATAATAATGCATTGACAGGGCGTGTTCCAGATTTTAGCTCCTTGAAAAACCTCACGGTTTTGTGAGTACCACCATTCAGTATGCTAGATGATAGAGGTTTACTCATTTTTTTGCAGGTCATTAGAGAACAACAGTTTGGATTGCCTACCACCAGCACATGTACACTTCTCTTACAAGTCGGTTTTTCTCTATTGCCATTGAATTGTTTATTACCTATATGTTTTTTCAGCGCTACTTTTAGCTTGTGTGAGAAGAAACATACAACACTTATATTTGAAGTAGTGGTACCATGTGCAGCCTTATTGTTACTTGGAGCTGGACTTGTGGTTTGTTTCTTTTCCCGTAGAAAAACTTCAAAATCCATCACAGTACAGAACAGGAATCCAAGTAAGTTCCAAAAGGTAGCCTTGTGGGTAACTCATTTTTCTAATGGCATCTTGTTCCATTCAGGCTTGTCTCTAAAATCTCCAAACTCTAGCACTAAAATGATTGCTTACAAGGATGTGATTGAGGCCACAAGCAACTTCAAGAAAGTCATTGGTGAAGGAAGTTTTGGACCCGTGTACTATGGCTGCCTTTCAAATGGTGTTGAAGTTGCAGTCAAGGTTTTATCCAGTAACTCAAAGCAAGGATATCAAGAATTTCAAACTGAGGTGAGTTTGATCATCAACAGGTACAAATCTATCTAATTTTCCTTGATAGATTGATATTTTATCAGTTGTACACCACAAGAACTTAGTGCCCTTTCTTGGTTACTGTACTCAAAAGTCCAAGCTCATACTGGTCTACGAGTTCTTGTCGAATGGAGCGTTGAGGGAGCACTTGTATGGTGGTAAGAATTTTTTGTGTTGAAACGTCCTCCTTTAGTGTAATGTCAGAAGGTAAAAGATATCCAACTCTAAGCTGGAAAACTCGGCTTGGAATAGCTCTAGATGCTGCTCAAGGTAAGCTAAATCTCTGAATTGATATGATATAACTCTCTCTCATAGGCTTGGAGTATTTGCACACATCTTGCAATCTACACATAATCCATCGAGACGTCAAAACAAGCAATATACTATTAAGTTTTGATATGGTTGCAAAAGTCAGTGACTTCGGTCTCTCCAAGTTTTATGACAGTAACAAAGCATCTCATGTTTCAACTGGCATCAAAGGAACTCCAGGATATCTTGATCCAGAGTGAGCAAAAGTTTTTTTCTCAATAAGCATGATATCTTACTGAATTTAATGGTTTTTCAGGTACCATTCCTATAGCAGGCTCACAGAGAAATCAGACGTATACAGCTTTGGAGTGGTACTATTTGAGATTGTTTGCGGACGTGAGCCCCTCAATTTCACACTTCTTGAGGAACAAATTGTTCTTTCGGAATGGGTAAACTATTAAGAGAGCTTAGTTATAAACATCTGTTCTTTGCTTCCTCCCAGGCATGCAAGGAACTTGAGAAAGGCAACCTACGAACAGTAGTCGATCCCAAGTTATCCGACTATGGAGAGAAAGCAGCACTGAAAGTTTTGGAGGTGGCAAGAAAATGTGTGGAACGTTCTCCCCACGGGAGGCCTAACATGAGCACTGTCGTGATCCAGCTGAGAGAGGCCATCCAACTCGAGGAGGACGGAAGTTCCCTGCCAAAATCCATGGAAATATTCACTGGAGGAAGATAGATATGCAAATATACTAAGATTGTGGATATATACTTTACTATGGCATTTTTAACTACATATAATAATAATAATAATAAAACTTCTACTTTAATGTTTTGAAAGTTGCGACTGTTTAGGGACTGAGTGACGAAGAGAAGGGATATTGGAGTCAATTCGTTCTTATCAAATGCGGGCTGCTCTTCTCAGGAAGAGAATACTACACCGGTAAGTGCTAGTGCTTTGTATCCTTAGTAGAAAGAGGCCGCTGGACACTATCTTTCTTGAGCGCAACGAATTTCTCCAATGCTGACTTGTCCAATATCAACTCGATGCAGTACTTGAGGACTTTGTGGCTGATGTGTGGAGAATGGGATCTCTAGAGATGGCTGGGACGGCTCTATGTATCAAGATCATGACAAAGGGAGGGGAGGATGCAAGAGGTGCAAGAGTGAGATCCTTGCCATGCTTGCCAAGAATGTGATTCACGTGCACTATGTGCGACCAGGGATCACGTATGATGATCTTCCATCCCTTCATGCAAAGCACCACCATTATCAGCTTTTGCAGTTCATTTTTCTGCAATGAAAGAGGTTATGGAACGCGTTCAGTGTTCATACCTCCTACCGGACACGACGTAGGGAGGAGCACAAGGAGCTGTGATCAAAATATAGTTAGAACTTATTGATACATAAATGATACGTGTTTGTGTAAAGCTTGTGTTACTAGTTGTTCTTGTTCTGCTATCGGTAAAGTTTCGGCGTTCTAGATGGATGGAATGGAATTGTGACTAGAACACCTATTGTTGCGTGTAGTTTTAGTAAAGATGGATGGACCCGTTGGTGACGAGCTTTACGTAGACGTGTTTCCTGCGAAAGAAAAAGAGGGATTGCAGTGATGAAAAAAAAACAATGCCAAGAGTGTGAGCACCTGTCGTGTGGATGGATCGAGTTCCCGGTGGCGAGCCCTACGTTGTAGCTTTCGTCCCTGGGAAAGTAACGAGGGAAGGACTTGTTGGTGTAGAGAGCATTCGTGCTGGACACCACCAGCGGCCTCATCATCTCGTTATCCTCGTGCTCGAGAATGTGGCAGTGCCACACAAAGTGCGGAAACGTCGTTGGATCCAGCGGGAACCTGTACGAGATGCTGGGCTTGAACGCCAGGAAGAACCGGGTGACGGTGGCGGGCTGGATGACGGCCGTGTCCTTCCACCCGACTTGATCCACATCGGCTCCCTGTGCCTCGCCCGTGTAGCAGCTCCTCGAGTCCGGGTAGTCGTATTCGAACGAGCACGACCCGGCAGCGAATCGCCCGGTGTCGAATCCCTGCTGCTCGAGCACGAGAAAGTTGATGAGATGGATGTGGATCGGATGGGATGCTGTCATAGTGTTGATCATGCACCACACCTCGTTTGTGTAGAGCAGGACTTGCTCGGTGGCCGGACGCGTGAAAGAGAGCCTGTCCTGGAGGAAGAGTCCCGTGAGCGTGTTTCCAGAGTCGAGGCTTACACGGTGGACGAAAGGCCGGTTGTAAGTTGACGCCCAGTCGACGTACGAGAGATCTACTCCGGCCGTGGCTTTGATGATCGATAGCGTCGGCAACTCGGCCAGCCCGCTTGGAGTGAGTGCTTGCGGGATCCCGTCGTCGTCTTCGTCGATGGTAGCGTTGGTCTGCCAGTTGATTACTTTGAACAGGAGAACCTCTTGCTCGGTGACGCTTCCACTCGGGAATGGAGCCGGCGCGTTGTTGTACAAGAGAACTCTCTCCCCGGGCTTCACTCCGCGAAAGTCGATAAGAATGTCGACTCGCTCGGAAGGAGAGAGCCTGAGCTTCTTCTGCCGTATCGGAGTCGCCAGGTATCCCCCGTCCGTGCCAATCTTGATGAAGCTCAAGCTCGTGTCGTTCAAGTTGAGGATGAAGAATCTCGAGTTTGCCGCAAGCAGCACCCGGAACCTCACCACCACCGGCCAGACTTCGATGTAAGGCCACACCTTCCCGTTCACCAGAATGGTATCACCAAAGTAGTCCGGACACCACTGCGGATGAACTGCCGGATTGCTCCCGACACTGGGATAGTTTATGGAGCCGTCGCTGAAGAACTGCTTGTCTTGGATCACCAGAAGCACGTAGTTTCTCGGGACCCAGGATGGATCTTCCCACGGTGACTCTATCACGTAAAGTCCGACCAAGCCAGCAGCCATGTTGAGCCGGGTCATGCCGTAAGTGTGGTCGTGATACCACAGGAGTGAGTGGCGCTGAAAGTTTGGATAGACGTAGTTTTGCGTCACGTAACCGGGGCCCCGCTCGCCAACTGATGTAAACCAGGCTTCTGGATGCCCGTCGGACCAGCTCGAGCCCTCTTGTCCATGGAGATGAGGGACCACGGGAATGTAGCCGTAGCGCGGACCCGCCCCTAGGATCGTATAGTCGACTGGAAGAAAGTGTTCACGATCTGGAATGTGATTTTCCCATCGGACAAAGGATGTTTGTCTCTTTTGGGCTATCAAAGTTGGACCCGGATATGAAGCTGTATACTCGCTCGTGCCGAATGCATACAGTGTTGTTGGTGGCAAGTCTCTGTGCAGTTTCTGCGTCAACAAAAAAAAACGAGTCTTGGAAGAGTCTGGAAATCAAGTGGAGAAAGAACGCATACCTGGGTGATTTTGTAAGCTCCAATGGTAACTCTGTAGCGTGGGCTCAAGTATATCTTCGGTGGCGTTGGAAGAACGTCGACGAACTTTTCCAGCTCCGGGGACGGTGACAGTTGCAGACAGACCTCATCCGCTTCTACTGCGACTAAAATCTCGAGGATGAACAGCGTTACGAACTTCCAAGACATTGGGAACTCCTCCAACCTGCTTGCAACACTTGCCGAACTTAAATAAAGTCAGTCAAAGAAGTGAACCTGGCGTAGTCCATACGTACTTGCAAAGTCTTGTCCAAAGAGCGTGACACAGCTCGCCGGGAGTTCAAATAATTCAGCGCTTGAGAGGCCGAAAAAATAATGGCTAGCAAAGGAAAGTTGTGCTTCATTGTCTCGTCGATCTTCATCCTGCGTTTTGCTCAAGCAGAACAATACCACAGGAATTTCACCAGCAAAATAAATGATTCCTTCTTGTTTCCGCTTGATCCACACGGCTTGAGTGGCCGCTACGCTGGTTTATGGTCCAACTATAGCGACACACAGATCAGCCGGTATATTAGTTACGAGGTGTGGATGCTGAGTTATAACGCTGACACACCACGATCGTTTTTCCTGGCCCTCGTTGCCATCCGCAATCCAACTAGCTGGGAGCTCACAAGACCGGTCATCCTGTGGAAGGCCCGACAGACGAGGCTTGTAGGTGAGAATGCCACTCTACAATTTACCACAGATGGAGAGCTTAAAGTCGAAGAAGACGGTGATGTCGTATGGTCCACGAAAACTGCAAACAGAGGCGTCCGGTGGCTCTGTATGTCCAATCGCGCAACCATAATGCTCCTGGATGAAAGCGGAAGCAATGTCATCTGGCAAAGCAGCGACGAACCTTCTGACACTGTGCTGTTGCAACGAGCACTTACGCCGGGACAAAAGCTCGTAAGTTTCAATACTTCAGAAGACAGCAGCGATGGCCTCTATAGTCTCGTCATGGAGAAAAGCAGGCTGCAACTGTTGTACGCCTCGCAACCGTACTGGAGCTTCGGTAATATTGGCAGCGAGGAAAACATGTTTGCGGTGTTTTGCTGGCAAAACGATGGTAACGTGTCTCTGGATCTGCGAGCCAACTTCTCACAGATTGAAACGGAGCGTGATGACTTGGGCTTAGTGTTTTCCTGGTCATGTTCTAGTCGAGGTTTAAGAGACCAAGTGATGCCGTTGAACGTAAACGGGTCACAGTTGACGTCCTCCACTTTCATAAGGCTCACACCAGATGGAGATGTGGACCTGTACTCCTGGAATTGGACGGGTAGCAGCTGGGTGACTTATCTCAGCTTTTCCAGTCTCTTCAACTGCTTCCTTCCAAGTGCATGCGGGAAGTATAGAACCTGTAATCCAGTGTCAGGTGCATGCGAGGAAACTTGTCCCGAGAGCTTTACCAGGACAGGTCGAGATTGCGAGCCATTGAGTAAACTTCAGACGTGTGCAGAGGACCTCGAGTATCGATTCGTTCGGAAGGAGGGAACTGATTACTTCTCCACAAATTATACTGATCCACTCAATGTTGCATCGGAAGAAGATTGTCAAGGGCTGTGTGAGTCGAATTGCAACTGCACGGCTGCCTTTTATAGTGACCGGAGCTGCTTTCTCGCTCATGGAGACGTGCAATCACTTCGAACTGGAAAATACGTTGCGTTATTGAAAGTTGCACAGCCACGAAAGAATTCCAGGAAGCACGTCCAGGCCATCACCTTGGGAGTACTTATTCCAACAGTCGTCCTACTGATAGTAAGCCTCGGATGGCGCTGCCGGAGGAACAAGGAAGATGACGACGAGGGAGAAGAAGAAAGCACCTTGCAGCTCTCTCTCATGGCTGGCATGCCGAGGCGTTTTAGTTACCAGGAGCTCCAGCAAGTCACAGGGAACTTCAGTGATAGACTGGGAAGCGGAGGATATGGAAGCGTGTTCAAAGGAAAACTTACCGATGGAACTGAAGTCGCTGTGAAGAAACTCGAAGGCTCCAACCAGAGGAGCAAAGACTTTTTCGCCGAAGTTGGAATCCTAGCCAGGACGCACCACTGGAACCTCGTCAAGCTGCTGGGATTCTGTGCCCAAGGTCCCAGGAAAAGGCTCCTTGTGTACGAATATATGAAGAACGGGTCCCTGGAGCGATGGATATTTGAAGACGATAGAAAGCCTGGCAGTTTTACAAGGGACGTTAGATACAACATTGCCTTGGGCACAGCAAGAGGATTGAGTTACTTACATGACGACTGCGCTGAGAGGATCATCCACCTGGACCTGAAGCCGGAGAATGTGCTCGTCGACGATGGTTTCCAGCCGAAGATAGCCGACTTCGGATTGTCCAAGCTCATGGACAGGAAGGAAAGCCAGCTACAACTGACAATTGCAAGAGGCACCCCTGGATACGTCGCACCCGAGTGTGTTCAGGAAGGAACGGTGACTGAGAAAACCGACGTTTTCGGCTACGGGGTACTGCTGCTCGAGATGTTAACAGGTTGCAAGAACAGGAACCTCTCAAGTGATTACCTGAAGGACTTCTTGTTAGTCAATGGACAGAACGACAGTGCTGCTGCTCACCTCCATCAAGACGAGAAGAAAAGAGAAAGATTGAAGAACGTTGCAGCCTTGTGCGTCCAAGACGATCCAGATTTACGGCCCTCGATGAGCTACGTGGTACAAATGATACTGGGAGTTACTGAGCTGCCTCAAATGCCCTCGCGATCACAGCTGAATTTCTTTCTTGCTTACAGATCCAAAGAGCACTTGAGCAGGAGCTCAGCCTCGGACGTCTCGCATAGAAGTTTTGATAAGTTGCTGGATTCATCGATGTCATCGACGTCATTTGCAATTTTCTCACAACATAGTGGTCGATAGTTAAACCGGAGCATAATTTAAACGTAGGTATAGTATTGCCTCTGAAAATCACAAAATTTGTTGAGGTCCATTCTTTGTCAAAGAAGTAAAAATACACCTTCGGAGGAAGTATTTCGTCATTGTTCAACAAGAGAATCGATGCCGATCACAATGCTTCTAGGAGTTTTGGGTTTGGTGGTTCAGAATCGTGTTCTTCGTTCCCTACGTCGCAGCGTCGCGCAGTGTTTCTTGCCAAGAAAAATGAAAAGTCGCTGTTAGACTCCGCAAACCATTACTAAACAATACCTCGCACATGGTCACATTGCAGTGCCGCATTGAATAGCAATTAGCGTTGAAACAGTCCCGACGAGACAATTTCCTGGCATTACTAAAACTCAACGATGAACAGCGGCACAGACTATTCCTTATCAGCTGTGTAAACGCGAACGAATAAATAACTATAGTCATACGTACTTGCGGAAAGACTTCTTCAAAGCTAATGCTTCGAGTCGCTGGAACTCCCGAGTATGTGAGCGCGCTCCCCAGCAACGCAAGCCATGGCTAGCAGAGAGCTGTACTTCCTCGTCTCGTCGATTTTCATCCTTCGCTCTGCTCAAGCGGCACTGTATTACAGGAATTTCACCACCAAAATAGATGGTCCTTTGTATCCGCTTGATCCATACGGTTTGAGTGGCCGCTACGCTGGTTTATGGTCAAATTATAGCGACATAGATATCAGCCAGGACATGAGTTACCAGGTGTGGATGCTGAGTTATAACGCTGAAACGCCAAAATCGTTTTTCCTGGCACTCATTGCCATCCGCAATCCAAGGGAGTTTTGGGATCTAACAAGACCGGTCATCCTGTGGAAGGCCCGACAGACGAGGCTTGTAGGTGAGAATGCCACTTTACAATTTACCGTAGATGGAGAGCTGAAGCTTGAAGAAAGCGGCGACGTTGTCTGGTCCTCCAAAACTGCAAACAGAGGGGTCCGATGGCTCGCCATCTCCAATCGCGCAACTGTAATGCTCCTGGATAAAAGCAGAATGAATGTAATCTGGGAAAGCAGCGACGAACCTTCGGATACTGTGCTGCTGCAACGAGCAGTTAAGCCGGGAGATAAGCTCGTAAGTTGGAATACTTCAGAAGACAGCAGCGATGGCCTCTATAGTCTCGTCATGGAGAAAAACAGACTGAAACTGTTGTACGCCTCGGAGCCATACTGGAGCTTCGGTAATATTACCAGCGACGAAGATATGTTTGCGGTGTTTTGCTGGCAAAACGATGGTATCGTGTCTCTGGATCTGCGCGCCAACTTCTCACAGATTGAAACGAAGCGTGATGACTTGGGGTTGGTGTTTTCCTGGTCATGTTCCAGTCGAGATTTAAGAGACCAAGTGATGGAGTTGCCAATAGATGGGTCACAACTCACGGCCTCCACTTTCATAAAGCTGAAACCGGACGGGGATGTCGTCTTGTACTCCTGGAATTGGACGGGTACAAACTGGATAGATTTCTTCAGGTTTTCGACTCTCTTCAAGTGCTTTCTTCCAAGTGGATGTGGAAGATACAGAACCTGCAATTCAGCATCAGGCGCATGCGAGGAAACTTGTCCAGATACCTTTGCAAGAAGAGGTGAAGACTGCCAGCCACCATATCCACTAGAGACATGCGAAGACCAGCTCGAGTATCGATTCGTTCGAAGAGAGGGAGCTGATTACTTCTCCACAAATTATTCCACTCCAGTTCCTGAAGCATCAGTGGAGGCGTGTCAGGGGCGCTGTGAGTCGAACTGCACCTGCACGGCGGCCTTTTATGATGACGGGAGCTGCTTTCTCACGCACGGCGACGTGCAGTCACTCCGATCTGGGAAGTACGTTGCTCTGCTGAAAGTTGCCCGCCCTCGAAAAGTTTCCAAGAAACAACTCCAGGCCATCACGTTGGGAGTACTTGTTCCAACACTGTTCCTGCTGATAGTCTGTCTCGGATGGCACTGCCGGAGGAGAAATAAGCATGATGACGACGAGGGAGAAGAAGAAAGCACCTTGCAGCTATCCCTCATGGCGGGTATGCCCAGGCGCTTCAGTTTCCAGGAGCTTGAAGAAGTAACAGGGAAGTTCAGTAACTGCCTCGGGAATGGAGGATTCGGAAGCGTTTTCAAAGGATTACTTGCCGATGGAACTGAAGTTGCTGTAAAGAAGCTCGAAGGCTCGAACCAGAGAAGTAAGGATTTTTTTGCGGAAGTTGGAATCCTAGCCAGGACGCACCACTGGAACCTCGTCAAGCTGCTGGGATTCTGTGCGCAAGGGCCCCGGAAAAGGCTCCTTGTGTACGAGTATATGAAGAATGGCTCTCTAGAACGGTGGATATTTGAAGACGACAGAATTCCTGGGAATATTTCGTGGAAAGTTAGATTCAACATCGCAATAGGAACAGCAAGAGGATTGAGCTACTTACACGATGACTGTGTTGAAAGGATAATCCACCTGGATCTGAAGCCGGAGAACGTACTCCTCGACGATGGTTTCCAGCCGAAGATAGCAGACTTCGGATTGTCCAAGCTCATGAACAGGAAGGAAAGCCAGTTGCAGCTGACGATTACGAGAGGCACCCCTGGCTACGTTGCACCGGAGTGTATTCAGGAAGGAACGGTGACTGAAAAAACAGATGTTTTCGGCTTCGGGGTTCTGCTGCTCGAGATCATAACAGGCTGCAAGAACAGGAACCTCTCAGGCGATTACCTGAAGGACTACTTGTTAGTTAGTAACAGAAACGGTAGTGCCGGTGCTCACCTCTCTGAAGAAGAGAACGAAAAGGAAAGATTGAAGAATGTTGCGGCGTTGTGTGTTCGAGACGATCCAAACTTACGGCCCTCGATGAGCAAGGTTATACAGATGATGGAAGGAGTTACCGAGCTGCTTCAAGTACCTTTGGAATCGGAGCTGAATTTCTTTTTCGCTTACAGACCCAAAGACCAGCTTAGCAGAACCGCAGCCTTGAACGTGACTTATAGGAGTTCTGATAAGTTGCTGAACTCATCTCCGTCGTTTGCAGCCTTCTCACAATCTAGCCTGAATGCCCGATGAAATTATACGTTACAACATTGAACGAAAAATAGACCTTCGTTGATTCGCTACTGCTGAAGTGTTGAGCTAGACAAAAACAATGTAGCCGCAATCTCATTAAATCGTGTTGAAACACATCAACCTGCAAAGAAGAACAGTTATCTCTTCAACTCATAAAGGAAATTCGTCGTCGAAGTCAATAGAAAAATCGTCAGTTAGTACGTGACTCAAAACTAGAAATTATGAGAAGAAACCGTTTCGAGCTTCGGCTTTCAGCAATAGCAGGTTACGAAAAGAGGAACCTCCCGAAATATCCTGAAAGAACGATACACCTCCATCAGGACCACATGAAAAGAGAAACATTGGCAATCGCCATGGCAATGTGTGGTAAAAAGGCAATATTGAGCTTAAAATCGCAGGTGATCGAAAAGGATAAAGCTCCCTCATAAGAGTTTTGAAAAGCTGCTGAAACTATCAATATCGTTCAAGGATTTGCCACAACACGATCCCATCTAGAGCACAAAAAAAGGAATAGCAATGGACGTGATTCTTAGCTTGAAAACCAAAATTTACCGAACGATGGACAGCGTCTCCCTGGAGCTAACACAGTTGGAGCACAAAAGCAAGCGCATCATAGCGCACTCTTCATCTATACCAAAGTGTGAGCGTCCATCTAAAGCCAAAGGAATTCTTTGTCTAGGCGAAATATACCTCAGATTTCACGGATCTTCTGTGACGAGCTCCAGCACCAAGAAAAAGAAATCGCGTCATGGCATCGCATTCTAAAAATTGCGAGGTTACTCAGCCGCAAGAAAGCAAACTCAATGAATGAAACATCACCTCAAAGATCCACCAAAATCGATCAATGCAGCATTGCGCCGATCTCCACGGAAATGCGATGTTAAAAGCTCTCCATTCAGAAACCCTAGAACACAAACCCACTTTAAGAGGCCTTAACAGGTCCCGCGTTCGACTCTAGCAAAGTTTTATTATTTAGCCACGTATGATCCAAAACACTCTAGCTAGCCAGCCTCGCGTAGTCCTCGAGCTTGTTGTAAATCTGGTGAGAAACTCTCCCGTACGCCGTCCCGGATCTCTTGCTCTTCGAATTCGCGCTGGGCGATCCCCCTGCCTGGAAGCAACGCTTTTGATGATCAATAGCGTCGGCAACTCGGCCAGCTCGCTTGGAGTGAGTGGGATCCTTTGTTGATGGTAGCATTGGTCTGCATTACTTTGAACAGGAGAACTTCTTGCTCAGTGACGCTTCCACTCGGGAATAGAGCCGTAGAAGAAAACTCTCTCCCCGGGCTTCAGATATCGACTAGCTCGGAAGGAGAGGGCCTGAGCTTCTTCTGCCGTATTGGAGTCGCCAGGTATCCTTTGTCCGTGCCAATCTTGATGAAGCTCAAGCTCGTGTCGTTCAAGTTGAGGATGAAGAATCTCGAGTTTGCCACAAGCAGCACCCAGAACCTCACGACCACCGGCCAGACTTCGATGTAAGGCCACATCTTCCCGTTCACCAGAATGGTATCACCAAAGTAGTCTGGACACCACTGCGAATGAACTGCCGGATTGCTCCCAACATTGGGATAGTTTATGGAGCCATCACTGAAGAACTGCTTGTCTTGGATCACCAGAAGCACGTAGTTTTTCGGGACCCAGGATGGATCTTCCCATGGCGACTCTATCACGTAAAGTCCGACTAAGCCAGCAGCCATGTTGAGCCGGGTCATGCCGTAAGTGTGGTCGTGATACCACAGGAGCGAGTGGCGCTGAAAGCTGGGATAGACGTAGTTTTGCGTCACGTAATCCAGGTCCCGCTCGCCAACTGATGTAAACCAGGCTTCTGGATGCCCGTCCGACCAGCTCTCTTGTCCATGGAGATGAGTGACCACTGGAATGTAGCCGTAGCACGGACCCACCCCTAGAATCGTATAGTTGACTGGAAGAAAAAGTACACGATCTTTCCCATGGGACAAAGGATGTTTGTCTCTTTTGGGCTCTCAAAGTTGGACCTGATATGAAGCTGTATACTCGCTCATGCCGAATGCATTCAGTGTTGTTGGTGGCAAGTCTCTGTGCAGTTTCTGCGTCAAAAAGAAAAGAAAAGAAAGTTTTGGAAGAGTCTGGAAATCAAGTGGAGAAAGAACGCATACCTGGGTGATTTTGTAAGCTCCAATGGTAACTTTGTAGCGTGGGCTCAAGTATATCTTCAGTGGGGTTGGAAGAACGTGGATGAACTTTTCCAGCTCTGGGGACCGTGGCAGTTGCAGACAGACCTCATCTGCTTCTACTGTGATGCAAATATCGAGGATGAACAGCGTTATGAACTTCCAAGACATTGGGAATTCTATGGCATGTTATTTGTAAACTGGTGCTGTGTACAGCATGATATTGCATTTGCCGGGTGGCAACATTTGATTGGCCTGCCATAATTATGTTGCTATTATGTACATTGGATGAATGCTTTTTATGGTCATCCATACATGCCTATTATGCATAGTACATATCTGCTCATCCTTTTATTAGGTCATTTTTAAGGCGAGGACTGGTTGTCACTGAGCAGGGTGTGGAGTCCAAAATCGAACAGCTGGTGTGGCAAACAGGCTGATGTGGCAGGACATCTTGAGGGTGGGTTCTTTCAAGGTTGGGGGCAAGAGATTGATTCCTCGGAGGTGGGGAGTAGAGTCTGAGCGTGCAGGGTGTTGATTGGAAAGGTGTGTTTTCTTTGAGGCTTTGTTGTTGTGAGCACATGAGAATGGATCCTAGTTTTGGTGGAGATGAGGGGTAGCCACATTGCTAAATGCTCCCATGAGCAGTGTGTGGCTGTCCTTCATTCTCAGACCATGCAAGAAGCTTGATGATGCTAAATTGAGCAACACAAGTGGTTGCTAATTTGAGCAAAGTAGAGTCAATGAGAGACTTCTGTGGCATTAGAGACTTTCAATGAGGATGCCAAGGGCATTGCTGGAAGGCAATGTCGATAGAAACACCCATGTGCAAGTCTCACCATGGCTAATGGTGTGGCAGGTTTTTTGAGTGGAAATTATGGAGGCAAATATGGCTCATGAGGGTTTTTTAATGGAAGAAATGAGAAATGTGAGTGAGGAGCTGCCTAGAATGAAAGCTGGGAATTCTTCTATACTTGATATCTCAAAGGACCAACTTGCAATAGTGGTTTCTACTGTCAAGACCCCCAACAAGATCAAGACTGGAAAAATGCAAAAGACAATGAGAAAAACTAGTGGAAACGAAGAAGAAGCCTTAGATTGGCATTGATTCAGATTGTGGAGAAATAGAACAAGGCTAACTTATATATATTATAGGTTGATGAAGCTCCACCACTCTTGGATCGAGGATGGCCTAAATATAGCTGAGGTCGAGGAGGTGCCACATCATCATAAAAAATGTGGCTCGAGACTCAGGAATCGTACGGGAAATAGAGAGTCAGAAATAGGGAAGTGTCTCGAGAGTCAAGAATGTGGTCTGTAGGTCAGCAATCCAACGAGAGTCAGGAATGTGGCAAGAATTAAGGGATTCTTAACAACACCCCCTCCTCAAGAACGAGTGGAACAAGGACGTGAATGAGAACAAAGAGGAGGATGAGATGGGCGGTGAGGGATGGGAGATGGAGAAAAAGAATGAGGATTAGGACGAGATGGATAGCAGCGGTGGAAGTCCCGAACAAGGTCAGGAGAATGAATCAGGTTGTCCGTAGGTTCCTAAGTGCGTTCTTCAGGTCCATAACCCTTCTAGTCGACCAGATAGTAGAGTTTAGACTGTGAGATCTTGGAATCAAGGATGTCCTGAACCTCATACTCAGACCCATCCTCGAGCTGCATTGGTGGAGGCAGAGGAATGACCTGATTTGGAATAGGACTGGGAATATAAGGCTCAAGGACAAAGGAGTGAAAAATGGGGTGAATGTGATATGAGGAGGGAAGTGCAGGGTGATAAGTGACAAGGTTAATGATGGCAGTGATAGAGAAAGGACTAAAGCATTTGAAATCAAGTTTAAGACATGGTTTGGTGGTGGAGATATTTCACTTGAGGAGCCAGACTTTATCCCCGATATTGTAAGGGGGACAATCCTGACAATGGACATTGGCAAATGTTTTGTGAGATTCCTGAGCACGATGGAGGTTCAAATGGAGAAGGAAGTGAGAGATTGAATCGGGGATTTCGGCCAGAGTTCGCAAAGAAGGGGGAAACTCGAAGAGAGGAGTGAACAGAGTTGTTATAGGAGAACTCAGCAAGGGGAAGGATATTGAACTAGTCATCTTGATGATAGTTGATGAAGCACCTCAAGAATTGTTCCGACGTCTGAATCATTCGCTCGGACTGTCCATCAGTTTGAGGATGATATGCCGAAGAGAGGTTGGCCTTCACTCCAAGCAGCTGCAAAAACCATTTCCAGAAATGAGAGATGAACTGAGGTCCCTGATCTGAAACCACATCTGCAAGAATCTCATGAAGTGGGAAAATTTCCCTGAATACCAATTTTGCCATGTCCTCGCCCGAAAACTCTTTGGTACACAGCAAGAAGTGCATCATTTTTGTGAAGCCATCCACCTGGCGAGGTACCTTATTCTGGGCGCAAATGTCACATGAGGTAACAAAAGCTTTGATGTAGTCATCCATGTGAGGCCACCAAAAGTCCCGTGCAACCAGCTCATAGATTTTTGCGATGCCAAAGTGACTAGCAGTTGGGCTATCATGGCACGCCATCAAGACCAACCTTCGAGCATCACCTTCAGGAATGTAAAGCTGCTCTCCACGGTACAACAAGCCATCTAAGAACTCGAACTCGTCAAATTGCTAGTAGTTGGGAATCACTTGGTGTCCAGCCTGAAGGTGGAGGAAAATGTCGCTGGTGAGGTCATTGGATTGAAGATTGTTTCTGATCACATCCATTAAGGAGGAGTCCTAAGGGGCCAGGGAAATTGACATAACTTGAAGCTGATCAGGACCGAGGATAACTTGATCCTGTTGATTGAAGGCAAAAT